CTTTAGAGTCAAAACATAGTGATGGCAGAAGTCATCAATAATGTCTCACTTTGTTTATGAAGAACTTCTCAAGGCTTTTTTCCCAGGGACAAATGTTCTCAACCACAATCTCTTGGTATGTACAGGAGACAGAACTGGATCCAAACGTCCATCTCTTTCACACTTAATGCCTATCACTAACCATGGACTTGAGATGTGTTTTACACTTATTAAACCTGAGTTGGTAATTCTTGTGGAATTACAGTGGGATAAAATAGGCTCACTGTTACAATAGCTTCTTTTTTTAATGTTTGAAGTGTGGTTTTTCTCTGCTCTTAGTTATCTATCACTTCATTGCCATCTGCTGTCTAACTTCCAGGTGTTCCTCAAATTATCTGGTCCAGTATTTCCAGAAGCAACATGAATTTTTGTATGTAACTGACTTGTCATTCAATACGATTTTTGATGAGAAGAGAGGTAGAGCATTTGTGCTCTGCTCAAGATTTTATGGCTCCCTGCTGTATTGTGAAGCATGAGGCTATCAGCTCACACTTTCTGTAAAGGCAAAAACAACAACAACAAAAAATTCATGTCCAATATACACTGGTTAGTTGCAGGCTTCTCTACTCAGAGTCAGGACAAAAAAAGAACATTGTCAACACTGTATCCAATTTTTTTTTTAATCTTAATCAGTGACTAAAGGTGAGGACAAAAAAAATGGCTCCACACAGAAAAATGAGTGTCTCTTTCTTATACGTATAATATATCTGGTTCTTTGTGCTGGGGGAAGGCTGGTGGTTAGTAAGAAAAGTTTTACATTGCTAATCTTGAGTCTTATTAGAAGTGCTCTGGGTAATGTCACAGCATACTAGCTATTAATTTTTTAAAGTCTGAAATTTTTTGAAGTCTGTCTCTTTTTATTTATTTTTTGGTGATTTTCACACAGCTCAGTAATAAAAACTGAATGAAAAAAACTTTACCAGATCCCAAGCTCCAAACTACAGTACTTTTTCCAAGGAACCTTCAAATCTGATTAAATTTAAATTGATTATACTTGTCATACTTTCAAAGACTCTGACAAGGCAAGGACATATATCCAAAATGTGGTATTTTTGCTTTTAATCTCAAACTATCTAACATACAATCACATGAGGTCTAGAGCAAAAATAGTTTAAAATAATTATCTTAAATTATTTATCTCACTACAGTTTGGGAGTGAGAACTAAGGAAAGAAATTACTTGTTCAGGCATTTCATCAGTTATAGCCAGCTCAAATCTCAGTTTTAAAATTAAGCTATTTTTTAATATATTTTATTGATTATGCTATTACAGTTGTTCCATTCCCCCCTTTATTCCCCTCTGCTCTGCACACCCCCTCCCACCCACATTTCCACGTTTAGTTCATGTCCATTAGTCATACATATAAGTTCTTTGGCTTCTACATTTCCTATACTATTCTTAACCTCCCCTTGTCTATTTTCTACCTACCATTTATGCTACTTATTCTCTCTACTTTTTCCCCTTCTCTCCCCCTCCCACTCCCCTGTTGCTAACCCTCCATGTGATCTCCATTTCTGTGGTTCTCTTCCTGTTCTAGTTGTTTGCTTAGTTTGCTTTTGTTTTTGTTTTAGGTGTGGTTGTTAACAACTGAGTTCGCTGTCATTTTACTGTTTATATTTTTATCTTCTTTTTCTTAGATAAATCCCTTTAACATTTCATATAATAAGGGCTTGGTGATGATGAACTACTTGAACTTGACCTTATCTGAGAAGCACTTTATCTGCCCTTCCATTCTAAATGATAGCTTTGCTGGATAGAGTAATCTTGGATGGAGGTCCTTGCCTTTCATGACTTGGAATACTTCTTTCGAGCCCCTTCTTGCCTATAAGATCTCTTTTGAGAAATCAGCTGACAGTCTTATGGGAACTCCTTCATAGGTAACTGTCTTCTTTCCTCTTGCTGCCTCTAAGATTCCTTATTTTTAATCCCGGGTAATGTAATTATGATGTGCCTTGGTGTGTTCCTCCTTGGGTCCAATACTCCTTTGGGACTCTCTGAGCTTCCTGGGCTTCCTGGAAGTCTATTTCCTTTGCCAGATTAGGGAAGTTCTCCTTCATTATTTGTTCAAATAACTTTTCCACTTGTTGCTCTTCCTCTTCTCCTTCTGGCACCCCTAATTCAGATGTTGGAATGTTTAAAGATGTCCTGGAGGTTCCTCAGCCTCTCCTCATTTTTCTGAATTCTTGTTTTCTCCTTCTTTTTTGGTTGAATGTTTCTTTCTTCCTTGTGGTCCACACTGTTGATTTAGAGTCTCAGTTTCCTCCCCATCACTCTTGGTTCCCTGTACATTTTCCTTTATTTCCCTTAGCGTAGCCTTCATTTTCTTATCTAATTTGCAACCAAATTCAACCAATCCTGTGAGTATTCTGATTACCAGTGTTTTGAACTGTGCATCTGATAGTTTGGCTATCTCTTCACCGCTTAGTTTTATTTTTTCTGGAGTTTTGATCTGTTCTTTCATTTTGGCCTTTTTTTTTTTTTTTTGTCTCAGTGCACCTGCTACGTGGTGAGGGGTGGAGCCTTAAGTATTCACCAGGGCAGGGCAACCCACATCCCTGTGCTGTGACGCTGTATGTGGGGTGGGGGTCTGAGAGGAATAATTGTGCTCGCTCTGCTCTCTGCTGGATTTCAGTCACTTCCCCCACTTCCCACAAGTAAAGTGGGCCCTTCTGGTGCTGATTTCCGGATGGCTGAGTTTGTGCACATTCTAGAACCCTGTGGGTCTCTCCAATGAACTCTCCTGTGAGGCTGGGAGTCTCTCCTGGCACCTCAATCCCCACAGGTGTTTTCAATCAATGATTTGAGGCTTTATTTCCCTGCGCTGGAGCCCTAGGTTGCACGGACTGTCTCGCTCCCCAGGTGTTCCTCTCGGTTTATCCACACATGAATGTGGGACCGCCTGTTCCACCAGCCGCCACCTTGGCAGTCCACAGGTGCTGCCTTGACACAACCCCTCTCCACCCAGCTACCTGGCCCCACCCCTCCTACTTGTCTGGATGATTACGTCTTCTTTAACTCTTTGGTTGTCGGACTTCCATACAGTTCGATTTTCTGTCAGTTCTGGTTGTTTTTGTCTTTAAATTGTTGTTGTCCTTCTTTTGGTTGTGGAAGGAGGCACAGTGTGTCTACCTATGCCTCCATCTTGGCTGGAAGTTAAAATTAAGCTATTTTAAAGGAATAAAGTTCATTTTAAAAACTGCTCACAACTTTACCAAGAGTAATTTTTAATTAAAAACAAACTCCAGCAGATGGTTACATCCATTTTCAAAGAGAAAAAACTAACGGGGTTTCAGTGGAGAGGCACAAACTTCTCATGAGACAAACTGCGGCTCCACAGTCCTCAAGCACTAGCTTCCCTAATGAGTGTACACGTATCGGCTGCAAAACTGGAAGCTGTATCAAGGCATCTATTGGCTGCTGTGCCACACGGTTCAGTTAGTGCTAGAGGTTGTCTTCAAAGCTGCTTTCCTTTCTTTCCCTTCTGTATCTCCGCGTTCTTCTTTATCTTTAACAATAAGCAAATCAAGAAGTTGAAAATAATAAAGCTGATAAAAATAAAATATTTCTAAAATATCATTTATTATTTTAAGCAATAAAATATTCTAGTCATCATCAAAAAGTGATAAGTTGCAGTCAAGGGAGAGTTGAACAGAGGGAAAAAATTAGAACAAATTAAGTAGAGGTATGTTAAAAGATTTATCTTTGAGCAGTGATTAATAATAGCTGAAATTTAAGAAAGAGTATTTTAATGAAGTATTTTAAAATATCCTTATTTAGTATGTAATTAAAAATAGTTATAGTAAAAGCACAAGTATCAATAAGGTAACTAATCAGAAAGTTGTTTTCGTAAGCATAAGAGAATTCATTTCAACTTAACCGATTCCCTCAGTACTCTATGTCCATGCAAGTACAACTATTTAGCTTGCGCATCCAAACGGCACTGACCGGAACTGCAGAGATGTTGGCTTAGAAGGGAGCCAGGAACTTCCTTCAATATGATACTGTTACTGCAAGCTGACGAAATAGAAACCAGTGTCCCACATTCCGAAGGATGTAAAAATCAAGAAGACTATACCTTATTTTCTCAAAAGTAAACGACAAAAATTTCTCTACTAACATAAGTTTGGTGGTTTCTACCCAAGATTAAAAGAGCAAAATGAAAAGAAATAATCAACACACTCTAAACTTTCTTGAGTGGGTTACAAGTATCCCTCACTATCCAAACCTATCTGATTTGTAAGGCACCGAGTTCAACGGGCTGCTACAAAGGGAAGCTATGGGAAGCTGTGGGAAGCAGCCTGGGTTCTGCTGAGCCTGCCAGTTTCACTTACAAATTGTGCGGCTGCGCAAAGTCACTTAATACCTCTGGATTCAGCCTTTATGCCCTGAAAACAAGAAGAGCAGAGAAACTAATGTTTCCACTCCTTCCTGAGCCTAATAGTCTCTTACTCTGTAAGCTGAAGGAAAGGCCGCATTTCTGAACTGTCCATGGCTAAGAGCACACTTTAAGACAGGGGCTTAGGGATGAATAAAATGGAATTCGAGGTAGACTGTTTTCCAAAGTTGCTCACCTGTGATTTATAAATTAACAGAAAACCAAAATACCTACATGAACACGTTTGTCTTTGTTGAACAGTCATCCGCCTTCCTGACTCATGCACACACTCTGTGGAGAGCACACGCTCAGCCCGGATGGAGTCTTACATGGAAGGGAATGCACAGAGTATTTAGGTATGAGTGACGTGTTAGAGCCTTGGGGGTAATGGACGAGATGGAGGAAACCCATGTGGACAACCAGAATAACACAAAGGTGGAAAGTACAAAGTTCCACAACTAATTGCTAAAATCTACCTAGCACAGTGCCGTGCACACAGAAGATGCTCCTTGCATGATGAATGAATGATTGAATGAAGCTTATCTGAAGTCCCTCTAAGTCTCGAAATTATTTATCTCTGAAATACCTGTTTTTTATGGAAATCCTTTAGGGCTGTTTCATAGCCTTCCTCCAGCCTGCTGAAGGCTATCCCTACATCCGTCGTCCACCAGATCTGCGAGCTGGTTAGGGCAACTTGAGCCGGGAAATCGAAAATCCACAGTTCCCTAGGTTTTTCCTCATAGGCTGCTATGGCTTCTGTGATAGAATGTCGCACCGTTTCTTGCATGGTCTGTTCAAGTTGCAGAAGCCACGTTTCCACCTTGGGAAGCAAATTGAAATGTTATAGCACAGGATTAACTATGGAAGAGGGGTAATTCTACACTCTCACGGGCTCGAAGGCCACACGGAGAACGAGGCCTCAGCTGGCTGTATCTTAAACCCCTGGAGAAAACTAGGAGAGAAGGAACTCAAAGGCAAGGCAAACAACTGATGGGAGTGTTTTTCCTGCATGAACCTGTCCATTCCTGGATGTACTACTCCTCTTATTTCACCAACCGGCTGGATAACAACTTTCCAAACCCTGCAGGAGGTGTTTGTGATTATTCGTTTTTCAGATCTGAAGATAAGGGGATTCTAGACGGACATCCGTCTGGTGACACACCGGGTTTTGAGAAACCAAACATCACAGCCATCTATAGAATAATGCGCTAGAATACTCTTTAGAGCTTTGGGGACATGGGAAACTTCTTTTTGAAAACATATCTTTGGATGATTTTTAAAACTGCTCAAAATTCTTCTCTAAAAGTTTCATAGTTCTTAGTATTAAGACAAGGAGTTTTCAGCAAGTATCTTAATTATATTGCCTACTGGTTCTCTTCACACTTGTCAGAAATTAGACAGCAGGAGAGTGTGCAGGAGAGGACAACTGCTGACTGGTGAAAATTAATCTTTCTTTTTAAAACTCAAGTTTATTTTGCTCCCACAAATATATTTCAGCCAGTTTTCTATCCTATTCAAATAGGCTTTGTTATATTTCTCCATACACATTTCCATGGAATGATATTCTGTCACAAAAAGGGTGCATATACTATTTGCAAATAATTGACCGTGCTAATGAAAAATGACTGAAATAAATTCCAAGAACCACGTGGGATGCTGAGGATGCTAGAACTCTTTCCGTTCCCTGCGTCTGTGAAGAATGGCAGCATCATGCACTCCCAAACCTCTTTCTCTAGAGAGCTGGGAAGACGTGAGTGACACGTGGTTCATGAGCTGACAGCTTCCCTGTTCAAAGGAAAGGGAAGCGCTGCCCCGGATACGGCCCCAACATCCCAACAGCCTTCTCCTCTGAGCTCAGGGCTGGGCTTCGTCCGCAGGCATGAGTACAGGGTCTCCCATCTAATCACTGCTTCAGTCATGAAGCGCAACTCTTAATGGCACCCAGCAACAAGGTCCTTCAGTGAACCAGGCATGGTTTAAACATCTTCCCCGATACTCTAGCATCTATGTCCTCCATAAAGCCACTTGCTCTGGAGAACTTTCCAGTCCATTTGGGAAGACCAAACACACAGCTCACATTCAGGTGATTATGCCAACAATGGCGACTCAGTACGTGTTGAGAACTGAGCTCTGATGAGGTCCTTGCTTCACCCCTCCCTTTCTGGTATGTGGTCAGCATCTGCCCAGCCCTCTGTAACGACAATTACCACTATCACTAATTATGAGCATATCCATTTCTTCAGTGAGACTAAGAGCTCCTCAAAGACAGGGGCCATGTCTTACTCATTTCTGGATCTCCAAAGCCTAACCTGGCACCTGGTACATAGTAGGCATTCGATAAACACTACTCAAATAAAAGACAAATAGTCCAAATTGGGAAGAACCAATCACAAAAGTGTGGGGGTTGGGGAGGGCAGGAGAAGGCCTAACATAATAGCATCTTCTTTTATAAAATAAAGGCAATTAGAGGATGAATGCGGTAGATGCTCAGAAGTGTCTCTTCCATGTCGCTTACACAGAGTATGCTAGAATGCTGTGAAAACTTTCAATATCGAGGGTTCCTGCCGGTGACAATGTCATCCATCAACCGGGCTGTCCTCCTTCTGGGCACGATGCCAGTTGACTGGCAGTCGGCTGGGGAGGGGCAGACAGCAGCACGCGTTGTCAAGATAGTTTATGGTGACTTTTTTCTAATCATTGTAATAATATCCTAAAGAGCCCAAGAGATCAAAAAATACACTTTAATCAAAGTGTTCCACCATCTGCTTCCTCATCATTTGGCAGGATTTTTCTGGTACAATATTAAAAAGTAACAGCAAGGAGTAAAGAAAACCCTTATTTTTTTTAAAGGTGGACCATCTCTGCAAGGGACACGTTAAGGAAGCCCCTGCCCCAACCCAAACAGTTCTGTCATTAGAGGCCACGGCTCCGTTCCTCTCTGGACTAACCCGAGCTACCCAAGCGTCATCATAAAAAGATGCAATTCCTCTAACTCATCTGAAAACACCAAGAGCTCTTTCATCTGTCACAATGAGCTAGCTGTTCTTGCAGATCCGTGCTCCGAATATTTTTTTTCACATATTTGGCTGTGGCGGAAGAGAATATGCTAACTTAAACTGTCTGTACACATGATAATTAGAGGACCGGACATCAGCTTGACAGGCGCAATCCACGTAATTTACGAGCGGCCATTGACAATGTTCACGGCAGAATCCTGAACCACAAGCCCCTTGAAAACCTGCTTTACTGAGAGATGCTGCTCCACCCTCACCCCTGAACTCTCTGAGCAGTGGTGACAATACGCTTTGTGAGGAGCGCTGTGCCTGGGCTGCATTTGCTTCTAAGTCTGGGGTCCAACTCATTCAATTTGTGAAAGTCCCTTCTGTCTAGTTCAACTGCCAGCGTCTCTGAGGCCCTGTGGGTGCTGCAGCCAAAGAAGCAGAACCTGGGGAGCCTGGAAGAGGAGCCTGGCAGAGGAGCCCTCTGTCACCCTGGACACAGGAAAACAGGAAGCTCTGTGCACAGAGCTAACCAGAGCCTGACTTGACATGAGCTGATCTTTTTTCTTTTTCAATTCAACCATTAAAAATTATCCCAGTCCTGGCCAATGTGTCTCAGCTGGTTGGGCATCATCCCACAAAGCAAAAAGTCGCCAGTTGGATTCTCAGCCAGGGCACATGCCTGGATGGTGGGTTTGATCCCTGGTCGGGGTGTGTGCCAGAGGCAACCAATCCATGTTTCTCACATTGATGTTTCTCTCCCTCCTTTCCCCTCTCTCTGAAAATAAGTAGATCAAATCTTTACCAAAATTATCTCAAACATCCTCCTCCATCACAAAAAAAAAATCAAATCTTACGTGGCCAATGCATTCGCACTCGGCTTGGAATGGGACATATTCCTTTTCTTTGCTGGACATGCCAATTGCTCTGTGGGCAGAAACATCCTGATGGTCTTCAAACTGCAGATCTGCGATGCTGTCGAAGAGTTTGGCAAGGTGACGTGTTACCTAAGACAAGGTGATGAGCAAAGATAAGAGCATTTCTTACCAGGGATACATTCTGGTGCTCTAGGGAGAACAAAAATTTCTAGAGTTACAGCACTATCTCAAAACAGTTTTCTTCCAAATAAAAATCGCTTCTTAAATTCCTAAGTCTGAAATGAGCCTGGTGGGGAAGCGGCCAGGCACTCGGGTCCCATCGTCAGGGGCTGGGCGGTGAATGCTTACCGCACACTCTCCTGTTTTCTACACTGGAGACTTACCAGCTTCTCCACCTCTGCCATATTCCTGCAGCCACCATCCTGCTGAGAATGTTGTGGCCAAGCTTTTAAAATTCAGACATACTATGAAGAAGCTTATACTATTAAGAAAACTGTGTTAAAACATCTGCACCGAACATGTAAGTCAGACACAGTCTCACCCTCGGGTTGGGTCCCATGTTGGGTACTTTCCTTTGATACTAAGGTGAGCCCCACAACATACTTGTTCCATAAGAAAGGTGGATAGACATTTATCTTCATTTTTATTGATACGGATATTGAAGCTAAACTATTAGGTGACTTCATCAAGTTGACATTGCTAAGAGTAAGCGGCTGTTAGATTTTAAGGCCCCAAGTCCAGGTTATACCTATGAAGGTCAAACTCTTCTGGCAGCCTAACTTTTTTACATCCTAAGTTGTAGGATCTTCGAAGGAACCCCCAATGACTAGTGTATGGAAAGCTATGCAAGTTCCAGACTCTTGGAGAAATAAAACAAACCAAATGAAAAGGCAAAAAACAGCATTTGTTCTGCAAGAGGCATGTTTAAAGACTAAAGCCTCCCTGGCCTCCCAAGAGAACGCCAGAATCAGCAATGCTTATGCATCCAGTTGCGTTAGCACAGACCAGACCAGGAGACGCTGCCCCACCTGGGAGTACCAGCACGGATGGAAGGAAAGATGTGCTTTCTGTAGGTGTACTCACAAGGAGGACTATCGATCAGGCAGGTCGCTCTACCTTTCTTAGGCTGGGCTGAGTGAAGGGCAGAGAGGGAACCAGATCCAAGTATCAGGAGTGAGAAGAAGTGGTCCCTCCTTACACAGGGCACAGATAAAAGCTGCTGAGTAGAAAACAGTTTGGGGGTTCCTTGAAACCTTAAACATAGAGTTACCCTATGACCCAGCAATTCCACTCCTAGGTATCTGCCCAAAATAATTGACAAGAGGTCCTCAGATCCTTGTATGTAAGTGCAGTATTACTCACAAAAGCCAAAAGGTGGAGCCAATACAAATGTCCACTGATGGATAAATGGATGCATAAATTTTGCCATGTCTCTATACAGCCATAAAAAGGAATGAAGCACTGATACCTGCTACAGTATGGCTCATAACCTCAAAAATATCACACTAAATGAAAGAAGCCAGTCACAAAACACCATATACTGTATGATTCCATTTATACGAAGTGTCCAGAGCAGGTAGGTCCACAGAAAGAAAGTAGGTGGGTGGTCATTAGGGGCTGAAGGGAGGAAGGAATACAGAGTGACTGCTTAATGGGTGTGATGCTTTCTTTTGGGATGGCGGAAACATCTTACCACCAGACCGGTGAGATGGTTGCACAACACTGTGGATGTACAGAAGGCCACCAAGTCACAGGCTTCAAAATGGTTCATTTTGCGTGGTGTGACTTTGATCCCAATAGAAAAAATAAAAGGTGCTGCTGCTAACCAGAAGGCAGTTAAAAAGCTATACAGCATTTACCAGCATATAGGTGCCATCTCTGTAATGAGCTTTTCTTCAAGTACAGCTAAACTGGACTTGAAAACAGTCCCAATGGTCACTTCTGGGAACAAGAACAACCTGCCTCAATTCCCTGCATGATAAGACCAAGACCAATATTGGTAAGGAACTCCTTAAGGGGTGATTTAATCTTGGAAGCTCTTAGCCTTAACATCTTTGCTGTATTTGCAGTTCCAGTATTAAAGAAAGTCACAGCAAGGAATCTTCTGAGTGTAAAATAGATGAGTTTTTGAGACTCTCACTTACTTTAAACCTAGACAGAGTAGCAGTCGATGATCACTGCTTGGCTTATCATATTCTCCTCCATCCCTATACATTACCCCAAGGACGTTTATACACAGAGAGTATCTCCAATAATCTAAAAAGTCACTGTGGCGGCCGCAGTGGCCAGGGGAGTGCACAGATGTTCAATGGCCAATGGCGTCTGCTGTGCAATGGGCCTGAGTAGCACGCAGGTGAAAAGCTGCAGGATAAATGAGCCCTCAGCCATCGCACGGCCTCGCACATGACTGCTTTGGTGAGAAAACAGTTGCAAAAGAACTTCTCAGCCTACAGTCGCTCAGCCAGTGGCCAGGAAATGCAGACCCCGTAGCTCACGGGTCCCCCACTGTGTGCACCTGGCGTGTTGGAAGTCAGTTGTCTTCACAGCCTGTCTTCCACGTAAAGCTGCCGAGAGAACAGGACTGGTTTTTATACAAATGTGGACCCTGTTGTCCTCAGATTGGTTCCATTTCTCATGAGAGCTCTTTGTATTTGCTAACACAAAATTAAAATTCCGTCTTCCTAATGTAGTCTTTGGAAAGACCTTTTGACAGTGAAAACGAATACATTAAACTGAACACTTCATAGGCTCCTCTGTCTCACTAAGGAAACGGAAAGGATGTGAGCACTTCCAATCATAAAAAAGCCAGTGACTTCGTCGATATCTTAAGTAGGTTTCTAAAAGGTGAGCAGCAAATGTGGTGGCTCCTCCCCACTAGTGACGCCAAACAAAGACCACGACCAGGGGCCTCAGGTTCCACAGCAAGGCCTACAGCTGCTGGGTGTCAGGCTGCCATGCTGACGAGAGTTCATATTTGGATCTCGTCATATTAAAGTGATATTTTATTTTAACACCACTTTGTAATAATCCTGACTTCCGTGTGTAATTTGGCTGTGGAGAGAATTCCAATGAAAGAGCTGCAACGGAATTCTTTGCAGTGACGATATTTGCGAAATGAAAAGGAATCACACGCATTGTTAAACAACTTGCGGCCAACTGTGTTTTGCGAGGATAATCAAAGACAACCCCCACTGGATGTACAAAGTATGGTGTATTGATTTAAAATAGAGTTGTCTATTTTCTTATCACACACCTACATCCTAAGTCCTTCGGGCATGAGGCAGCCTTTATACAAAGGCATCCACTTAGAATATGACATATTCCTCAATTCTGTCCAGAAGAGCTGCTCTTACTTGGCAATTTCTGGGACAAATGACACTTGGGTGAGCAGTCCCTATTCCTTGCCACTCAGTTGAAGATAAGTGGAGACCAGGGCAAGACGGCCCCCGCCACGACCACCTTCTGTGGCTGTTTCCCGTTGCTGCCTGTTCTCCATTCCTTCCTCAGCCCCAACCCAAACTTAAGGGCAAACCCTCCTTCTACCTTTGGTAGCTAATACCTCTCCACTGCTCTACTTCCTCCAGAAAAGCTGGGATTTTTTTATTGACTTTATTCCAACTAAAACTCATTCATTCCTGCATGCCGTCAGTTAACCACTTGCATCCTGAGCTGTTGTCCTCTTAGTTGCCCTGAGGAGGACTAGACCTTGTGGGAGAAGGTTGTGACACTGTGCATGAGCGCCGAGCTCCGTCACCCCGATTCCTGACACGGGAGTCTGGGGCTCTTCCACTCCGTCCGGAAGCTAACCAAGCGGAAGCCCTGCTGCCCCTGTGGGAGTGTGCGGTCTGAGAGCTTTGCCTCTCTGTCGCTTAATAGTGAGCCCCTTCTCACAAGCACCTTTCCAAATGCCAACATTTCCAGTCTATTAAAAGTATCAGTTTAGTACCATCTGGCGCATCAGTGCAATTTAGGGGATTTCTCAAAAGACAAGTTGGCGGGTTTCCTCTTCTGTAGATTTGGGCTGATGCCATGGAAAGACATTCCTTAATGCAAACGTTTAACATTTCTGAGCATATATATTCTTGATCTTGTCACTGTAGAAGATGCATTATGGCCTCAATTTCCACAATGCTGGCTTTCTGGTAGCCACATTAAAACAGGTGATATTAATTTAAATGTATGTTGGCCTAGTATATTGAAAATATTTTCACTTCAACATGTAATATAAAAATCATTAGTGATATATTTTACATTCTCTTCCCCAGAGTAAGATTTTGAAATCAGGTGTGTATTTTATATTTATAACATATCTCCATTTGGATTTTTAAAAATATTTTATTTATTTATTTTTAGAGAGGGAAGGGAGGGAGATAGAGAGAAACATCAATGTGCGGTTGCTGGGGGTTATGGCCTGCAACCCAGGAATGTACCCTGGCTGGGAATCGAACCTAGGACACTTTGGTTCCCAGCCTGCGCTCAATCCACTGAGCTACGCCAGCCAGGGCCTCCATTTGGATTTTCATCAGAAAGCCTTGATCTGCTTTTAGATTTTATAAAATATACAGTTGCAAAGTAGATTCACACACTCAAGTAGTTTCAAGCACATTTTCCAATAGCTGAATCAAATACCAGTTTTAATATTTGAAGTATTTGAGTTTGTATTTCCATAAGCATCCACCAAAGACTTTTGACCACGGAAGTTAAGCAGCACCCAGATCCACTGTCCTTTGGGTAATCCATGCTGTGGTGAAGTCGGCGTGAATTTTGGGAGTAAAAGTTGACCTTCAACTAGCTTACCAACAGCTAATAGTCACCAAAGGCATTCTAGACACACTGATTTCATCACTCTGGCATTCCAACTCAAGTGTCTTCACTTGGGAATTTCTGCTTACAAGACTGGAGGCTGTGGTGACACCAGACCTCCCTGGCTGATGTGTTCAGGCCAATCAAATTCCACAATGAACTGCAGAAACTCTCACTGAAGCCAACACCCTTAAATCGAGTGTGGCAGGTGGAGGAGTGGGGGGATCTGAAGAATTCAAGTCATTCACAAGATGTCAACATGCGTTATCTGCCCACAAAGGGTATCCTTTCTGGGGATGATGCATTGTCACTCATCAAGCTGCAGTCACCATGTCATCTTGGTCACACTGCTGGGAGCCCATTCAGGAGCGTTGTGTCTGGTGGTCCGAAACGGATCCTGATATTGGAAAGGCAGTTAAAAGAGGGTAGTGTGGCCGGGCTACTTGGCATAATTGCCAAAAGCATGAACTGTCCTGCAATAAGTGGCTGAGAATTCAGAATGCACCTCGACTCTACAGGACCATTTCGGGGAAAGAAGTGGGCTGCGGCTCTGGATGCCTCGGACGGCCCTCGGTTGCGTCTCCTCTCCTTCTCCAACCAGGCGCTCCTCGGTGCATGTTTGCACCACAGAGACAGCTCGGTGTTTGTTCTGGTCACGGACCTCTAGGGACTGTATGATAGCATTTCATGTGAACTTGGGTTGTTGAAAGTTTAATCTGTGTAACAAAAAGACCTCAGTGAAGTCGTACTTTGAACACACTTGGAAATATAAATCTCCAATATTCCAAAGTATCCAAAATTGAATCTTTTTAAAGCTGGTAGGACAGGAGAACTGTAAACCACGTTCACACTGTTGCCGCGAGGCTGGGCTGTTTTAGGTGGTGAGCAGAAACCCCACGTCCTCTTACCAGCACGGAGTAGGCAGGCTGCTGCTGGCCCCGTCAGCATGGCAAGGAGCGATTCTGGAGAGCTCTGTGCTGGGTTTTTAATATTCAGCTTCACTGTCATGTAAAGCCTTTAAATGTCTCCTATTCCTTAGTCATTCTTTAAGGGGCAGTATCAGTGCTAGCACTGAGCAATGTACCTGAGATTTGGGGATTCAGAACTGACAATGGAAATGCTAGGAAGGAGGGAGGTGAGCCGACCACCGCAGTAAGTCTCCCTGGTACCAGAGAAGATAACGCTCTAAGATAGTGACGTGATGCTGTGAAAATAAAAGAATGATTTCAAAGATACATCTTCAAAGTTCATTTTTTAAAAAAATCCAACCTGTAATTTAGGATTAATAATAACAATTTGAAAATGTTGGCACCAGGGACGCACATGTTGTGTGGGTAAGGCATGGAGCATTTTTTAGAAATTATTGCTATTATCTGAGAGGAGGTAAAGAGATTTGGTGGTAAGTAATGAACTTGTCACATTGCATGATCTGTTCCTCTAGCATCGGCCCAGGCCTACGATTAGCAACCAAGAGAAATTGGGTAAGTGCATGTTCTAAAGACAGAGAACAGGGGTTAGGGCAGGTTAGTCCCTCCAGGGCTTGCTAAGACACGTCTCACCCCCTTATCACCACCTACCTGCACACACCCCTTCCATGGGCGGCACTGCAGGGAGGAGGGGAGGAGAGGCTGCTATCCTCACACCTGTTAGTTTCCAACCCAGAGGAGGGTGCTCTGGCTCTTCTTCACTCCTCACGGGGAAGGTCAGGGCTTGTTTCTCCCAACCTCTGCCCTGACATCAGCAAGTGACAGGAGCTGCAGAATCACTCATAGAAGCTACAGGTGTCCTTAAACCCGTGTCACCTGAATGAATTCACTAAAAATAAAAGTAACTAAAGGTGCCTGCAGTAAGTGAATCTCTTGTGTGTCACTTGTTTGGACATCTGCTTAAGTGGAAAAGAAGGAAGAATATGTATTCAAATGGCTGGTGATATGACCCAGGGCAAGAAGTATAAGAGTTGGGATAGAATTAGCTCTGCAGTATATACCCCTTGGGAAGTCCCCCCTCGGCCCCTGAGGATGGCCACCCGTGTGCTACAGGAAACCCAGCACGGGGATGCTGACTGCTGAGGACAGAGAAGCAGGAGTAAGTCACTGCTGGCCAGAGAGACAGGAGTAAGCATTAAGCATTTATTATGGGAAAGACTGACTTTGACACAGAGGCGAGACTGGAATTTTAAACTAGAGAGCTGTTTTTGGAGTATTTATTTTTTTAATAAGAAAAAGGGACCAGGGTGTTATGATACCTGCCCAATGGAGGGGATTACTATTCAGTATAAAGGGATTCAGCAGAACTCACTGGGGATTACTAATTGTAGAAAAACAGAACTGTTTCTGTCGGTATTTTATGTAATCAATACTGTTCAATATACCAGTCACACATGTGTTTATTGTATATAAAGAATATAATGAAAAGAATGTTATTCCAGTTACAGATTTATGCTGTAACATAAATATGTGTTCTAACATACATATGTGTGTGTGTAGTAGATATAAATATGTCTTCTAACATACATATGTGTGTGTGTGTAGTAGTAGTCCTGAAGGTATCCAGCCATGTAATGTGAAAAATAGAGACATTTATTGAAGAAAATACAAGAAACATTATACATAGGACAATAACGCCTCAGTCCCCTTCTCCCAGTTGCCATCAGCTGCCCCTTTGTATGTTCCTGAATCTCATAAACAGTCTGGAATCTCTTCCCTTTCAAAGGTGATTTCAGTTTGGGGAGAGGCCAGAAGTCCCAGGGTGCCAAATCTGGGCTGTTGGGGGGCTGAGTCACCTGGGTGATTTGATGTTTCACCAAAAACTCTGCACAAGACATGATGCATGAGCGGGCACATTGTTGTGATGAAGCTGCCAATCGCCAGTTACCCATAGCTGTGACCTTCTGAATCATCCAAATAGTTTTCACTGAGGAATAGTCAAGCTTCATGCAAAATTTGATGCAGATTTCATTGCTCTACTTGCCTAGTCATTTTAAACATGCTGGCCACACAGTACACATGTCACTCAGTGGTGTCTACTGTCCCCACTGACTAGTACAGTGAAGTCATCATTGTTCACACATACATGTTCCAGTCCACTCTGCTTGGCTGCCAGGTTATGTCAATGTCCCACAAACTGTTCTCATTATATTAACTATGTGTGTGTGTGTGTATATAAATATATCAATTAGGATTCTAATTGTTTCTGATCTGAAAGTCTGTAGGAATATGCACCTGGAATAGCATGTGACCCCCTCTGTCTCACACATAACCACCCCTGGCCCGAGGGTCCAGCTGCTGGTCGTGAGGATGTTCCCAGGAGATTACCGAAGCACAAGCACAGTTATGGCCACTGTGTTTTAAACTGTAAAAAACCCACCCCTGTCCCTAAAAGTTCTTTTTAAAAAAACACTCAAAACATCCAGTTGTGTGCTACATAAATGAGAGGCAAATATATTGGGTTCCCAGTTAATCTAATCAGAGGGATTATATTTATAGAGCCACCTGGGAGTCTGAATAAAAATACTCAGTAGTACCTGAGTGGTAGCCCTGAAAACGTGACCACAGCTGACTAGCCACTGTTATTAACAGCAAGCCTGCATGCACTTGTATCATCAATAGCGAGAACAGCCATCCAGCTGAATTTAGGTTCAAAGAGAAATGATGAACCAGAGAGAAATAATCAAGATAAATGCTGTGTCTGAAGATGAGTAGAATTCTGGACACTACAGTGTGGAAAGACACATATTCCAAAAAAAAAAGGCACAAAAATATCTAGAGAAAGAAAATGGAGACAAATCCACAGTCACAAAGCACAACCTTTGGCTTTAAAATCATCTGTGATGGGCAGTCAGCTCTAGGAGTAACCACCTATGTCAGCAGTAATAACCGTAAGATCTAAATGGGTGTGGACGACTGAATAGAGAGAAGCGAAAGACAACAGCCTCTCGATGTTGACAGGAAGGAGTCCTCTGGGATTTGTACAAAGTTATCTCTGACCTGAGCCCTCAGATTACAAAAGATAATAGCTGCTTGTATTTGCTTTAAATATTGTCCTGGGTGGTATGTTATTTTTGTATAGGTCGGGGAAAATTAAAGCGTTAGGTAACGAATGAGACTGAAAATCCTCCAGTCCACCTCTGGCTACCCTGACGACTCGTCCGACTGAATAATCAGGAGGTTTACTCTGGCATCAAGGGAGCCGTAAGAAGATGCCAGCCGTGGCCTCGTTCCAGGTGACCCATTCTCCCCTAGGAAAGCGGCTAACCAGCCAACAGACGCTCCAGCCTCTGTGGTGGAATCCTGGGGGATCTGGAGCCAACGCTTTCGCCATCAACTTCCTACAAAGCCCTCAGCCTTGTACCTTTGAGGTCCTTTCCCTTCACTGAGGACCAGGCACGTACCTTGCCCAGGTCCTTTAGCGCCAACTCTGGCACTCCTCCATGCAGTAAAGATTTTATTGCAGATTTTCTAGCTTCTGGCACATGTGCCATGAGAGGTCACATTTGACTATGACAGAGAAACTGTGATATTCCTTAGCTAACATAGTATAACATGAGACTTTCAAAACAAAGATATTACCTGTTTAGGCTGGGCTCCCTTCGAGAGAATGTCAAGTAAGTCTGCAGAAGAGATGAAATAGAAGCGTGGGAAAGCCACGCGCTTGGTTTCCAGGTACTCGGCGAGAGCTTTTTCACAAAGAGAAAGCCTACAGGAACAAAAAGTATTCTTCAGTTTACCTCGCCCGTTTGATTATTAAAATGTCAACAAAACCAAACCCACCCTCTCTCATCTGTCCATCCCAATAAGCTCACTCTTTACCAGGAAGCCTGCCTCCTTCTCTTGGGCACCGTCGTCTTGCTTGTGACTAACATACAAGACGTGCCAGGGAGGGAGGGGACACACACAAGAGCCTGCATACGCCCATCATTAGTTGAGGCTTAATGTAGACCACACCTAGGCTGAAGACACTTACCACTTTTCTTAATGACACTCCTAACTAGCAGGGAGAAAGCTAGCTTTGGCATCACTCAACCTGGACACAGAGTGCGTTAGTTAAGATGTAATTGGTTTAGAGTCTTCTTCCTTTGCTGAGTGAGTGTTTACAAAGCACACGTGGCTTCAACTCTCCCCGGTATCCAGAGGAGTCATAAGATCCAGATCATTTCCACTTTATTGTTCTCAGCACAGCAGAGATGAGCCAGAACACCAGCCCCTGAAACCCTCAAAGATTACTGACTAAACAGAAATAATTAACTTCTTAGAAACCCGCTCTTTTACAACTATGGACAACTTTATCTCTGAAAAAATTCCAGATTACGAAATAATTTGGCTTCTGTGATAAATACTTTTATGTAGAGTTGTCCTCTACTTTGCAATAAAATGTGATCACAATTCTGCACAAACCTCTTCTTTTTAGTAGCTGATCAGCCAGAATATTCTTATGGCCACTCGCTGTTGTAGAATTATGTGTGAAAGTTGCAAACGGCCCCTTAGGACAGGATTTCAAAACTACAAATATGTTCTCTAAGGATAATTTCTAGTATAATTAAACTATATGCAAAATAAAGGACTTAAAATAACTGAGTGCAATCCCAGTTCTTGGCATGTAGTAGATGCTTAATAGATGTTTGTAGGAGAGCTCAAAGGAAGAATCAACTAATCAGCCATGGTGATTCTCTTGATAATAAGATATTCTAATTTTACTGCTATGATAATTCTTTTGGAAAACAGAAATATACTTGGATTTACTGACATTAGCTCACAAAATATACATAACACCTAATACATACAAAGCAACTAGACAACTATAAGAAAAATTACAGAATAAGTTAAAAGTAGAGGTTGTACCTATAATAACACAATACCAAATATTACTAGGTACTTGAAAGAGATCTCACGGAATTATAACAATCCAATCATGTTATAGTTTTGGTCTTACCTGTACTGCAAATCTTTAAGTTTGTCATAGAGATTAGGTCTGCATGTAGCTTCTAAAACATTTCTGATTGTAGCTGTCTTGAACATTAACTCCTGTGTGAAAGTGAAAAACAGAGCCACTGACATTAGAAATTACCTTTCTAAATTTTTCATCTGTTTTAAAAATAAAGACCATTTGAGTATTCAAGTTAAAAACTAAAAAAAATGAAAAACAATGAGAAAGCAAGGTGAAAGAGACTTCTAACACCATGTCTACTCACTGTTGCTTTTAAACTTTTAGAGAAATATCAAAACCAGAGTATAATTGCACAGTTTTTGTCAAAAGAAATTCGATGGACATTTTCACCCTTCTGGATTCACACAGAGTTACCCTTTCCTAAACCAAACAATTAAAAAGAATAAAGAGAGAGAGAGAGAACCTAAAATCTTAAAGAATACGTTCAGATATAAAAATGAGACGAATATGAAACTATCTATTCTTTCCTCCTTAAAAGTTAAACAAAATACAGTTCCTCTGGGTGCTCTGCCTCAAACGGGAAGGAGAAAATATTTGATCGCCCTTATTCTTTGGTGAAAGTCTCTCACACCATTTATCACAATCACAAGTACATTTCTATGTGCTCTTGGTGGCTTTCGTGAAACAAACAAAGAAGTGGTAGTGTCACCTTGTTACTGGCTGCCCCTCCTCAGTCTTTACTTAACAAGGATGAATCCATCTACCCCGCCTTACTGCAGAGGGCGGGGGGTGGGCAGGAGGTGGGGGCAGGCCATCTATGGCCTATGGGAAACATCTGGCCCACTGCCTGTTTTTGTATGGCCAGAAGTTAAGAATGTTTTTTACATTTTTAACTGATTGGGGGCGGGAAATCAAAGTAGGCCTATTTTTAACACAGAAAAATTAAATGAAATTCAAATTTCGTTGCCTATACATGGAGTTTTATTGGAGTGCAGCCACACCCATTTGTTTATGCAGTGTCTCTCCTGTCCTTCAAAGATGCAAGGGCTCCATTGAGTAGCTGTGGCAGAGACCACAAAGCACAGCAAAGCCCAAAATATTTACTGTCTGGCCCTGACCGGGTAGCTCAGTTGGTTAGAGCGTCATCTCAATATGCCAGGGTTTTGGGTTCAAAAGAAGCAACCACTCTGGCTGGCGTAGCTCAATGGATTGAGTGTGGGCTGTGAACCAAAGTGTCGCAGGTTCGATTCCCAGTCAGGGCACATGCCTGGGTTGCAGGCCACGGCCCCCAGCAACCGCATAGTGATGTTTCTCTCTCTCTTTCTCCCTCCCTTCCCTCTCTAAAAATAAATAAATAAAATCTTTTTTAAAAAAGAAGCAACCAATGAATGCATAAATAAGTGGAACAACACATCGATGTTTTTCTGTCTATCTCTTTTTCTTGCTCTCTCGCTCTCCCCTGACCTCAAGTCAATTTTAAAAATTAAAATATTTACTGTCTGATTCTTCACAGAAAAAAACTTCCTGACCCCAACTTCCTGAAATGCAAAAATATATTTTTATAAATACAATACTCCAAATCATGTTTCTTAATAAGATTTTCATACTGTTTGGAAAACAATGCTAAGGTAGAAAGCAGTCTGTCATCTTCAAACCTTAAATTCAGCATCTACCCCATCGAATCTTCTAGCGTCATTCACAAGCTGGGTTCGAATATCTTCGGAACAGACGAAGATGCTTTCCAGGTGAGACCAAGTCCGCTGGACTTCCATCCAGGTAAAGATGACCGAGTCTGCTATGTTTAATTTGTGTTGCCAGCTTAAGACTTGCTCAATGAAGTACTCCACATACTTGCTTTGAAGCAGAGTCTGCAACTGAACCTAAAAGGAAGGCAAAGAATTTTAAATAAGAAGTAAATTGGTAGACTGGTAAGTACCATGAGAGGGAAGTCATACCTATTCTTTTAATTATTTATTTATTTTTCAATTACAGTTGATAGTATTCTGTATTATTCTGTATTAGTTTCAGGTGTACAGCATAATGGTTAGAAAATCATGTACTTTACAGAGTGGTCCCCCTGATGTTTCAAGTACCCACCTGGCACCGTGCATAGTTATTGCATTATTATTGACATATTCCCTATCCTGTGCTTTACATCCCTGTGACTATTCTGTAACTGCCAATTTGTACTACTTAATCCCGTCACCTTTTTCACCCTGCCCTAACCCCCCTCTCCTCTGACATACCTATTCATTTTATTGCTGGAGTGCTAGGACCTAGCATGCATTATATGGAACAGGTATTCAATACGTATTTGCTAAATGAGTGAATTAATAACCTTAAATATTCATGTTAACATATTTTCCAAAAGAGAAAAGATAACCATAAGCAACTACATTTAATATCTTCTACATGAAGACCACGTATCTCTATGTAGGCAGAAAAAAATATTGCACACTGGGCTGCAACTTTAATAAACTTTATTCTTCATCCTTTCTCACTCTCCCTCGGGTCCTTGCCTATTAATCATTCCAAGGCTGTGGGTTTTGGGGGGGGGGGTGCAGTATTGAAAAAAATAAAACTAACTTCCTCCCAGCTTGCTAAGCCCTCGGGCTTCCATTTCTCTCCCGGGTCAGTTTACGACCAGACTTGGCAGCTCGTGAAACGTCAGGCTTGCTTTAACTCCCTCAGTCTGGCCGGCACGTCTGACCACTCTCTGACAGGGTCAGAGAAATCTCAGAGTCCCTGAGTGGAATGGCCTCTTCGCATTCGCCTGTCAAGTGCATAACTCAGCATCGTTAACCGTGGTCACCATGCCGCACCTTCGATGCCCAGAACTATGCATCTCCTACCTTGAAGTCTGTGCCCTTTGACGGACACCTTCCCATTTCCCTCATCCCCAGCCCCTGGCAGCCACCATTCTGCTCTGTTTCTGTGAGTCCGGCTGTTTTTTAATTCCATGTATAACAGAGATCATACAGTACTTGCCTTTCTCTGTGTGGCTTATTTCACTTAGCACAATACCTCAAAGGCCATCCTTATTGTCATATAGGCAGGATTTCCTTTTATGCTGAGTAATATTCCATTATACACACCACACCTTTTCTTTATACATTCATCCGTCAATGGACACTTAGGTTGTTTCCATGAACATATGACTTCTTTGGGGGAGAAATTTATTCTGTGGTTTCTATGACACTGCTGTCACCTTTTCCACTGTCTGATCTATCCCTCTCTCTTCCTCCTACATGGTCATATGTTCACCAAATGCAGCTTTATCCAAAGCTCTACTAGCTGCTGCTTATCTTCTTTCCCTCGCATCATCTAGCTTATTAATCATCAAGATGCCAAAATGCCCTCCCAGCCTACTGTCCTACCCTGAACCTCTGGCTCAGCTCTGGGTCCGACTTTCCTCCTTCACATGAGTGTCCCTCACCCTCCCCTCATTGCACAGCCTCGCTGCCTCTTCTTAGACCCCTGTAATGGCTTCTCCTTGGGGCCCCTATCTGTCCCCCCACTCAAGTGCAAGTTCCTAGAGAACAGGTGTTCATACCTTCTGATCCCAACTGGTACCATGCCTGGAGCCTGGTATAAGCAGATGCCCAAGAAATGAATAAATACTACTAAGACTTGGAAAAAGCCTCAAACTGTAATTCACAAGAAAAAAACCCATAATAAAAATATGCATCTTACTTGGTTGTGCTCTAGAGTTTCAAAAAGTTGCTCCTCACACTTTAACAATGGAATGCCTGTCCGATAGTGAACTTCATAAGAGAACTCCATCGTTGCCCAGGTCAGACTGATTTCGGTTATAACCTAGATATAAAGAGTAATAAGTTATGCATATAAAAGTTTAACTTACAACCAATATCTAGGCTATCACCATGAATTTATAAAATATTTTTTGCAAAACAAAGTGATTGATAACAAATATTATCGGTCTCAATTTTTATTCCTTCAAATAATACATGGTGATGAGGTTTAGAGAATAAATTCCATCGCACAAAGGAACTGGCATCACACCAATATAGAATTTTTACCAAATCTGACTTCTACACCCTCCACTGAAAGAATGCTAGAGCAGGAAGGGACATACGTGGTTAGCTGAAGGCTTGATAGGTAGGATTTACAGATCAGCCAGCATGAGACGGGTGTTGCTCAGAGTTCCTGAATAGGCACCCCATCGTTTCTGTGTGAACCTGCATAAGTTAATTACCTCTCTTTACCTCAGTTTCCTCATCTGTAAAATGGGAATAATGATATCACCTCTCTCAGAGAATTGAGTTCATTTAAATAAAATAGTCGGAGCAGTGCTTGCTACAAAGTAAATGATGTGTTTTCTGGTATCATCATCATCATCATCATCATCATCATCATCATCATCACCAACAGGGCCAACCCTCTCATTCTACACATTTCCTCTGCTCACAATACTTCTATTTCCTGCCCGAGTCACACACTAATTAGCAGCAGAGGACACGCTAGGACTCACGTCTCCACTCAACCACGGCACGAGGACGACTCCCTGAGTCTGCCAACGTGCTTAATGCGCAGAGCGGGCCCAGTGTGAACGAGACAGCCCCAGGGCCCCACCTTCTCGGTCCCCAGTTCCTTCACTGCTTTGTCCACGATGCTTCGCACATCATCTTCCACTCGGTGTAACTGCAGGGCCAATAAGTCTGCCAAAGTTGTGGCTTCGTTTATTGAAAAGTTGACCTGATTAAGGAGAAAAAAGGGCAGAATTTACATCCCACATAGTGGTTCTTTTTACCTAATGGCCAGAGGAATGATTCACAGCTAAATATATTCTAGTCAGCTGCTTAGCGCACCTCTAGTTCTGAAAGTGGCAGACAAATACATTGCGTTTTAACTTCCCATGACTAAGGCATCACCCACTGGAAGCCAGGGCTGAGGTTTAGGCCACATCCACACTACACTACTTTCTTGTTTCATAGCCTTCTCCTGTCGGTTCATTTCTTATCTCCTTTGCCCACAAAACACATTTTTTAAAGAGATTCACAACATTCGTTTATTATAATTTGGGTGAAATCCCAGGAATCAGGTAGTAACTCATTTGTCTTTTCCTCCTAAAGTATTCTATTCACTGAACATAATTCCCAGTTGCTTCCATGACTTAACCTAATTTTATCACTAATTTAATCATAGTTCCCCAGGGAAAAATGTATTTTCACTTTTAGTGTCATAGTCATAAATACAATGCACATTTATGTCTTCATTATCTTGTCGAGTCCCCCCACCCACCGCAATATTTGCTAAGAAGCTCTCAGCTCTTCCTAAATGTCTGAAGCCGTCCATGTCCCTTGCAAATGAAGAGCTGATCCAGCCCTATGGTTGCAGGAAAACTGTTTCCTTTCCTGCTCCTGCTAAGAAAATCCAGTCCCTGCTTCTTGGAAGCCGCAGTCCTCTCTTGCCCTGCCTACCCTTTAACATTTCTCATCACCATGCCCCTCTCTGCAAAGGCGGACTAAACACCCCTGTTTGCCCAGACCTGAGGGGGTTCCTGGAACCTGGGAATTTCAGTGTTAAAACCTGAAAAACATCTTGGGAAAACCAGAGGAGTTGGTCACCCTATCTTTGCATCACTTTGTTGGCTCGCTCCACAGCTGATGGGCGCAGGGGCCCAGGTCTGCCTTGGAGAAAGAATGGGCAGGGGTATTGGATGGGGCCACGCTGGTTAGTCACGCAGCTTTTGCACTGAACATGAACACCCAGCCCAGGTGACAAGTGGAAATTGAGTCTGGCCACTGCTCTGATGCTCTGGGACAGCCTGGAGCAAGGTGCCTTTTTCTACATTGTCTGCCAGAGAAAGTGCATTTTTCTTGCTTGCCAAAAGGCGCAATACCGGCAGGAGACTATGGTGAGAAGAAATGTCACTGGAGGAAGTGTGAGTGGGGAGTGGGGCCCACAGCCCGTTACATGTTGGGAACTCACATTATTTTGAATGCATCAGTCATCAATTGTAAAGTCTAAATATCCAATGTCTAAAAGACTCTGCAATATAATAACCTCATGGATCATTTATGGAGCACTTGCTACTTACTGGGCCTCCTCTCCAGTTTGCTCACAGGTTCTGTGTGGGAAGCACTACACATCATGTTCATTTCACAGAAGAGGCGACTGAGGCCTGGAGAGCAGGTGAGCTGCCCACGAGCCCGGAGTCACTAAGTGTCGGGGCTGGAACAACACGGCCTGGTTTCCACTAGTGGAGAAACTCTGCAAAGTCTGCCTTCAAATCCTGGGAGCCTCTCACACAACGAGTCCCCCAGGGTCTGGATCTGCCCGTGGGGAAAACAAACATACCAGGCTGCCTTTCATATATTTTAAATTCAAATAGGTCACCTTTCCTTAAAAATAAAGTGTAAGATTGGTATGTTTGCTCTTAATGGATGCCAAAAAATAAGAAAATACAACCTCAAGTGGCATGGATCCATGAGGAAGCATTTTAGAGTTTGTAATAAAATCAAAACTATCAGAAGACTATCACAAAAGACACTATTACTCAATGAATTATGGGGGGGACCACAATATCAGAATTCCCTATCTCCCTATATTCATTTCCGTGTCCTCTGATCCTCTCTAATATAAGTAAGATCTTTTGCAGCTATGTTGTGCTTTATAAAATGCCTTTACATTCTCTTACTTGATCCTTACAAGATCCTCTGATCTGTGAGAGCAGACAGCATTCCTTTGATTTCATTAATAAGAAGCAAAATTCAAAATAGAGAGGTTATATGTCTTGTTTGTGGTCATGTAGCCAGTAAGTGATCAAAGCAGGGTGTCTTAGTCAGAAATATCACAGACTAGGTGACTTAAAAAAACAATAATTTATTTCCCACTGTTCTAGAGGCTGGAAGTCCAAGTTCAAAGTGCCAGCATGGTCAGGTTCTTGGTGAAGCCCTTCTTGGCTTACAAAGGTCTATCTTATTATATCCTCACGTGGCAGAGAATAATAAGTTCTCATCTTTTTCCCTGCAGGGCACTAATTGTAGTCTTGAGGGCTCCACCTTCAGAATCTAATTATCTCCCAAAGGCCTCACTTCCAAATACATTGGAAATTAAGGTTTCAATATGTGAATTTGGAGGGGGGGGGCATGTTTAGTTCATATCAGAGGGCTAAAATGAGGACCTTTGCATGTGCAGTCTGTTTGTCCCGTCTCAAAGACCTTGACCTCTCCCATTTGACCAGGCACGTGCCCACAGATCCCACTTCCTCCCAGATGAATAATGCAAATGAAGGAATAATACTTCACAGTCACAAAAGTGTTCGGTTAACGAGACTCGGGAAACTGACCCCAGTGGCCTTCATGAGCTGGTGCCAGTGCCTGTCTCTGAGGGCCGGGCTCTGCAGCTCTGCGACAGCCCTGAGGACAGCGGTCATGTCCTTCACGGTGCCCTCTAGGCCTGTGTACGCATCCCAGACACGCACTTCCTTGTCTAGTGACCAGATTTCCTAAAGCAAAGCAAAAAAAAAAGTCCCTAAGTATTACTATACATTTTATAATTTGCCTTATTTGAAAGAATAAGCATACATCTCCTGGGATTAGGAAAGAGAGTGAAAGCATTTAGGCCCCTAGGTGGAAGACTAATACCAGAGACTCAAAAAAGAACCCACTCATTCATGTACTGTAAGTCCACTATGCACAAGCCACGTGGACACACCGGTTTCTTACTCACAGGCTCTAACTAAAGGCCCCACGGGACCCTGAGTGCCAGTTAGTAACAGAGCTTACAGGAATTGTGTGATGAGGAGTGTGTCCCCCAGAAACATAAATAATCAGGAAACCGAGGTTGCTACCTGGATTACTAAAATCTTCCTCCAAAGACCTGACTTGTTTGAATGGTAGCCTGAAATGTGAATACTTTGAGTGTTTGTTTCTTGGAAGGTACATATTTTATGACTTTAAGATGTGTCGAAAGGGGCCCCTGACTTGGCTGTCTCCTTGGCCCATGGAACAACATTCACAGCCGTGAATGAGAAAACCCATCACAAAATGACGATCTCAGCATGAAGAAAAGGACAATCCCACTTGTTTAAAAATAATAATAAAAGACCTTCAACTGAGAGTGTGGGTTGAACCATCACTCTGACGTGAGGTGAGATGGTAGAGGAAGTGAATCGGGAACGAGACAATAATGAGATAGAGGGACACTGCGACGTTCAACAGAATGACGGGACATTTCAGGTAGGGCCTTGGGGAGCAGGATAACATGGGAGACAAATCTGGGCAGTGCTGGTAGGAGCTGAGCACAGGACTGAGTCAAGGTCTAGGACGTTCTGGGGTGAGAAGAAACCAAAAGACCCTGCCACTTTTGAACTGCCTTTCCCTGCTACGCATTTTAGCTTCATCCGAAAAGCTTCTACTCTCTTCAGAGGGCAAATGGCGATGGGGACTAGATAGCAAAGCCCTAAATTCAAATGAGCTCAGTTTTGTATACACTGAGCCCCCTTGAGACACTGGAGTAATCAATAATACAAAGATCAGAGTATTCCACATCAATCTATAAGTGGAATACTTCAATTAGTCACCCAACTTCTAGAACCAAAAGGTATTTTTTATAATGTAAAATGCTTATGGTTGCTAAGAATTCAAAAGCTTTCATAAGCCTAATCTCTCAGGCCTAGTACTCTTTTTAAAAATATATATTTACTGATTATACTATTACAGTTGTCCCAATTTTTCCCTTTTGCCCCCCTCTGCCTGGTACCCTCTTCCCTCCAGCAATCTCCCCCCTGGCAGTTCATGTCCATGGGTCATGCATATAAGTTCTTTGAACTCCCCATTTCATATACTATTCTTGACATCCCCCTACGTATTTTCTATGGACAAATTATGCTTCTTAATTCCTGCACCTTTCCCCCCATTTTCTCTCTTCCCTTCCCAACAGATAACCCTCCAAATGATCTCCATATCTATGATTTCCTGACGGTTCTGGGTGTTATTTGTTTTGAGGTAATTCTCTCTGTGGTTGTGCAAGGAGGTGAAGCATGTCTACCTATACCTCCATCTTGACCGGAAGGCTCCTCAGCCCTAGTGCTCCTGATCTTACCACTCTCCATTCTAGACAGCTTTAGGAAACTCTTTATTACAGTGGCTACTCATAAACTCATTAGCCCTAATATGCTTTTTTCCACTCATTCACGGAAAGGCAAGCTTGATTAAAAGTGCAACTGGCTGAGAGCTAAAAAAAAAAAATACTTCCTCATATCACCCTGTGTGAAGTAAATAAGGACACGCAGCCCACCGCACCAGATACTCGGTTAGGGAAGATGGAAGGAGGTGGTGCTGAGGAAGATAAATTATTGTAATCGACAGTTATGGAACTTGCCTTGGCAAACCTTCTGAGTTCTACATCCATCTGTTCCGCATTAATCTGTCTCCACTGGGTTTTAGTCCAATTATCAATGCTTCTCTGAAAACATACAAGCAGATAAAAGTGTCAACAACATTTGGTGAAAGCAAGTCTCCACAGCAAAATATATGAACTGACGATACACAGTGGCTCTGTCATCCAGTGGAAGGTCAATTACTTAAGAATTAATTGCACTTGTCAAAACTTCCTATCGCCAAAACAAAAAGTTGGCAGGACACATCCAACTTAAGGCTAAAACACTATGATATATTAATTTCCAGTAGCAATGACAAATTCCATACATACATCATCATTGTCATGCAATCCTGAGTACTTTGAATGAATTGGATAAGTATATGACCATTAAATATGCCAGATTTTTTATTATTCTAAATATAACAAGCTTTCATAAGTATCTTAATCTATTATAAATAAAACTTTCATTAACTTCTTGACTATATCCTATGTCTTGCTGATATACTTCTATTTGGCTTTCAACTAACTTCAAAGAAAATTATGTATAGTCCATATTGCAATATGCCTAGTCCCCTACAATTTATTTTTATACTTAAGTTTATAACAATTAACAACACACAAATAAATTTTTAGTTAGGTCGATTTATATATGCACATACATGAAAGTATAAGCATGGGTGCATACATGAATTTGTATGAAGAGGTAACCATATATGTATAATGTGCATTTATATATTAATTCTTATTATATCTACATAATCCCCCCAAAATGTGAAGCAGTCAAGTTATTACACACAGTTTCATTTAGAACCCAAAACAAAACAACTGATATTCAGAGAAGGATCTTCTACTAACACAGAGGTATGAACTCTAATTCTGGGGGGGGGGGGGGGAATATAATACCACATATTTTAAGACATAAAACCCACACAGAACGATATAAACACAAGAAGTTGCAGTTACCCAAAAGAACTGCTAAAAGAAAAAAAAAGGACCAAAAAGCAGTATCTTACTTTAACATAAACAATGACATCCCAGAGCCCCTTAAGCAGTTTTATTTCTCTGCGACACTGCTTCATGTGTTTGTACTCTGGAAGAGCCACCTCAAAAAGATGGGTCGATTCTTGCATCTGCAACATTTCTTCTTCTAATGCCTCAAGCTCTTGGTTTGCCTAAGGAGAAAACACACACACACACACACACACACACACATGCACACCCTTAAATCCAATGACCAGCCAGAGAGAGAAGCCTACACAGTTCTGTAGCTCTGGTTATGGCAACATGAACAACTGGGATTTAAAAAGAAAAATTTTGCCATGACCGGTGTGGCTCAGTTGGTTGGGTGTTGTCCTGCAAAACGAAAGGTCACTGGTATTCTGTAGTTCACTGTGATGTGTCTAGATGTCGACTTCCTGTTTATCATGGTTGGGACTCAGTGAATTTCTTGAATCAATCGATTCATGCTTTCTTTCACATCTGAGTACTGCCTAATATTCTGTTTATTCTCTCTTCCGGGAAGTCAGAGAAGAGTTAGGCATCACTCTAAGTTCTTACTCTGTGTCTCTAAATCCCTTTCATCTTTTCAATCTCCCGACACCTACGTGCTGACTTCTGTGTGATTTCTTCCCATGTCATTTGCATTTAACTAATTCTCTTTTCAGCATTAACTAGCTCTCTAACCCATCTGTTGAGATTTTTTTAAATAATTATATTTTTCATTTCCGTAAGTTTTGGGCCCTTTCCCTCAAATTCAGCTGATCATATTTGATAGTCTCAAAATTGAGAACTTGGCTCATGTTTTCAATATTATGTTTTACTTCCTTAATAAAATGTCCTCTAATAACTGACATTTTTATATGAATCTACATCTCTAGTTTGCTCCTTCCACTGGCTCTTAAGCATAGTGGTGTGTTCATTGTTGTCTTGTAGAGTCTTACTTGACTGAACTTAATTTGTTGGGCCCCTGAGAAGACTAGAATGAGAGCACTTTTTTTTCTGGAGAAGATCTGGGTTTACTTCTATAAGAAGAGCTACTTGTATCCATTTCCATTTCCTGGACTAGAAATTCCTTAATCACAGAGGTAGTATACAATTGAACCATAACCCTTATGAAAACAAGCCTATGTTGACAAATTCCAGGGGATCCTTTCCCCCTTCCCCCCTTCTTCCCTACTCTCAGTGTTAGCGAGGACTGGCAGGCAGGTTCAGAAGCTCCCACTGCAGGCTACAGATTTGTCCACCCTTCACTGAGGGTGTGACCTCCTAAGACCATCTATGTCCCCCAGAAAGGGTTCGTTGCCAAGTTCCCGACCTCTGACACTTGTGTGGGCCCCATACGGCAGCACAGACTCCTGTGTTTGCCTCTGCTTCCCATCCTGCATGCTCTTTCCCCCCTGTCCTCTAGAGAGTTCTCTTGTTTGGGGGCGGGGGAAACTCAGCAATAGATTTCAAATTGCACATTTGTAAACATTTTCAGCATCTCTTTTACAAAAGAAGGATTTTCAAAATGTCTAGTCTATCACATTCCCCAGAGCCAACAGCCCTTTAGTTTATTTTTTGTCAATTTTCCTATTATTTATACTAATTCAATTATTCCTAGAACTATATGCCCAGTTATGTTATTTCAAGTGTTTACTGTACCTTTGGCTGTGCAGAAACAGTAGCATATAAGTTCACTGAAGAATCAGTTCTAAAAGGAGAGGTTTACCATACCACCTCTGTCTTGCAGGGTGAGCTGCCTAGAATACTAGGGTCAACCTTACCAGCCCAGAACAAAGAACATACATGCCTTTCATTGAATCCAGTTAGATAATTATTAGATATGCACACTGAACAAACACAAGCAAATACTTCAGGATAAACATAACCCAGCCCTACCATATTCGAATTATCCCTCAACACATTCTACAGGCACAAGGATAAATATCTCTGACTATCAAATAGTAATGATATGCTGTTACAGTATAATGTTCTGGTGGTAGGACTCAACAGATAACTGTAGTAAATGTTTGCACACAGCACATTGGTCAGTCCAATAAAAATGTCTCCCCATCCACACTCTGTTCAAACCACTTGAAAATTAGCTACAATCATTTAAAAAACCACAACTCTATTAGCATCTGCTAAGCTGCTCCCTTTTCAGTGGCTATCGTAACCACTTTTCTTCAGCCAAGTGAAAGAGAAGACCTCATGCTACAGAATGGTGTTCCCTGAATGAATTGAAAGCAGTTAAAACTAAATTCAACCCCAAAGTTGGAGAGAGCAGTAACAGCTGCCAGCTGCAAGTGTTACACCAGGCTAACGAGGAAGCCTATCTCCAGTGCGAAATAAAATCAGAACGGCAGCCTAGAGAAAGAACTAGGACAGACTCCCAGCTCTTGAACCTAAAGATCACAAAGGCATTTTCTCACTGTGGCTGCAAGGTTAAGAATTTCTGGAGAAACAGAAGATATTATTTTTCTAATAAAAGTTTAAAGCATTTTTTTCAAGCCTCAGATGAATAACTCAAGCATTTTGGATTATTTGCTCATTTTATTCATTCCTACACTCAACCATAATAAAGCAGTTCATTATAAACTAGGCTTGAATGACTCACTTATATTTGTATTCAGAGTTAAAAATAAGTTATGGAGTTCCTTACTGGAAAGATTCACATGGGAAATAGTATAGTGGCTAAAATTTCTGAGTCTTTTAAAAAAATTAGCTAGAATTTTAATACTGGTTGTATTCTTTACTAACTACAATTTCCAAGAGAATTATAAATGATTTTTTTACTTGAAAAATAAGATAATAATAGACCTTGCAGGACATTTGGTCCTGTCTAAAATGCCCACACTTAGAAAATGTTCCTTAGAAAATGGCCTGGAATCCAAATAGCCTATAATGTTTATTTATACTTTTGGCTGACAGGATTAATACATGAAAAAATACCATTATGTCTTCTTGGTCCAATAAGGATGTTGTGGCTGTATTGCCAGAGATAACTTCCCTTGCCTTGGTAGCCAAGCTGGTCCTGGCACGTGGGGTTAGGTTGATGGGTTAAGGTCTGAATCTTGCAGGAGAGCAGGATTTACACTAACTATGCACATTGGGGACAGGGATAAATTTTCAGGACCCTTTGGCATGGCCCAAATGTCTGCATGGATGTACTGGACAGGGCCCAGTATCCAAAAATCACAGCAGAAGCCACATTATAGGGAAAAGGCAAGAGCTGAATAAAATAATGTAAGTAACACACTTAGCAAAGTTCTTCACATATCTATAGTAAGTGCTTAAAAATAGTTGTTACTTTCACTAGTATGATTGCTTTAATAATGATAGTGGTTTTGAGAGACATGACTGAAAGCAGTATAATTTACTGGGGGAAAATTGTTTACGAAGGTGTTTTAAGTAGTTAATTCTCAACTCCTATAACTAATTGCAAAACTAAGGCAAAACATAGCAGTAATTCAGTATTTAAATGTACCTTCTAAAGCAGCTACTGGAACACACATAAGATACAGGAGGTCAGCATTACCTTGTCAAGCACTGGGTATGGGTTTTCTGCATGGAAACCGAAAGGAGCACAGAGTCTGAACCTCTCTCTGAACTTGGCTTGCTTCGCCTAGCCAGGGCAGGGGAAAAAAAGATGAAAGTGAATCTCAAACAAATAACTTTGATAATTCTTGTAAAGCCTTTTTTTAAAAAAAAAATTGGTAGCTCACTCACATCAAATAAAATACATTTTTTCCTTATAAGAGTGACTTCTGCATTTTGGAGAGGCGAAACTTCATGTCGGACAGTTGCTGCAATCTTTTTGGTAGTTTCCCATCTTTCAGGTAATTCCTACAAAAGCACAGGTGCAATCGGGGAATTACTTCAATGCCTCAAACTAACCAACCCCATCGGGTTAAATCATTCTAATCTCCACACGAACGCATGACATCTTCTCATTCTGAAAGAAGAGGAGTTGAGCTCCAAAGAGATGGAAGTTACTAGGAGGCTTCCAGCCGGGCTGACGTCCCGACTGGCCCCCCGGAACCCTGGATTGGTGTCTTCCAAGCAATAAACCAGAGTTGTCCTCTGGGGTCAGATATATCCCCAAATTAATGACAATCTTTTCAAAATAAACACAAATTTCAAAATTATTTCACAGTTGAGGGGAAAGAATTGCAGTGCTCTGGAAATGACTTTGCTGGCCTCTAACAACCAGAAATGCGGCCACGTTCAGCAATGCAGCAGGTAAGAAACAAAATGCTTTGAATCTGGCTGGGCAGAGACGAAAATGTGCCTCAGTCTCTCGCCCTCCGCCCTCCTCTTGCTCCAGCAGCTCTGTGTACTGTCTCCACAGAGAGGCTGAGCGCTTGGGTCAGGTTAATTTCAGATTACTAGGGCTTTCAGGTCAGGTTAATTTCAGATTACTAGGGCTTTCGGAGAAGAGACAAAGGGAAAGGGTGGTGGATTCCTACTGGATGCAGGACAAAAGCAGCAATAAATAGCTCAGGTAGCAGCCCCACTGGGCCCTCCCTGACTACCACGCAGGCAGGACAACAGGAAGTTGCTTCCTTTGAAGAGCCACTGTGCCTAACTGCCGCTGAAAAGCATTCCTGGTGTCTAGGTTAAGAAAGCATTGTTTCTCTAGGTCATCTCCTGGGACACTGAAATTGTTTTGCCATATGAACCCCCCCACCCCCCGTAGTGATGGGACTCCACTCGTGCTGGTGAAGTGCAAAAATCGAGGATTCTAAAGACTACTTTGTAACCCTGGATAAATATTTGATGAATGACTCAGTGACTGCCAATTATGAAGAGTGCACTGTGCTAAGTATAAATTTTATCTGTGCAGTGCAGGAGTGAGACAAAGCTGAAACATAATCTTTGATTCGAATTGTTTTATAATGTCAGAGTGAATGAGAGGCACACACAATAATTACTCTTCGTGGCAGGATGTGTTAACTACCATCAAGAGGTCTACGCGTCATGGAACTTAAATGCTCAGGAGGCAACACGGTGTCACAATGGGAATACCAAACCAGGCCAGGAACCAAGAGATCTGGGCTCTGAACTTGCCCTTCATCTTGTTCCTCCACCCTTTATCTCACCAGACTCTGCATCCCCATCTGCACAGTCTCACTTTCCATTTCCAACAGATCCCATGTGGCCCACGGGAGGGAAGCCACAGGGAGGTCACATCGGTGGGCTCTGGCCCTTCACCCCTATCCAACTACACTATACTGGTTATTGCCTGCTTTATAGTTAGAGGTTCCAAACAAGCTTCCACTTGATAAAAATAGATTTGCATCGGAGACCAAAAGGTCAGGTGACGTCCAGTTTCAGTAACTTGTGATCCACTCAGGCGGTAACACTGAGTCTCAGGCTCAAAGGAATAACTGGGTTTTAACAGGCAGAGACTTAGGGGATCAGGTGATCCCCTGAGATCCCACGAGGTAAGGGGGACAGTGTAGGATGGGGTGGGAGTGGGCTCTTACGGGAACCGGACAGTATTCGGAGGCCAAGGGCAGTCAATGAAGGCTTCTTAGCAGGGGAGGGGCTCGATAAAATCTGTATATTAGAAATGTAATCCATTGTAGGCATCCTGTAGATAGTGTGAGAACGCAGGCTTTTAAATGGAACAAAGCACAGGCAAGTATTTGGAAGATGTTATTACTGCTAATGATTATGAAGGAGAAACAGTAACTACTGCAAGTTGCTTTAATTAAAATAAAATTGGGGCACTGTTAAACTCCACATGCAACTTGTTCTGCCCACCAATCTTGTATTTCCTCCTGGCCAGATGGAATTACTGACACAGAAGCACACACGTAGCTGAGAGTGTGGCCCACTTCTGAAATATGGAAAAGCCTAATATTTTCAATACTGCCATGACCTTAAGGAGTGAGTCAAACTTTTGTAATAAAGGCTGTGGCTAAAATGCCACATATCAGTTGCTTGTGTTATGATTGGTGTCCCTATATACTTTAAGGTCCAAGATCTGACTCAAAAAATATCTGAATTTTTACAAAACCAAATACGTACAGTGTGTTCTATGTAACGAATCATCTCTCATCCTTGTTATGTATCTATCCACATCTTTTCTCACTCCACATCTAACTGGATTTTCAATCCTAAGGATAGTTTATACTTGGTAGAATTTAATAATTTGTATATAGTAATTCTTTACAGTCTTTATAGTCAGAGCAATTATAAATATACTGCATCATTTAATCCTCACAGTACAAAATGAGGGATATAAAATTGTGGCAGCAAACATGGAAAACCGTTTGGTGGTCCCTCAAAAAGTTACACTCAGAACTACCATCTGATCCAGCAATTTCACTCCTAAGTGATTCCAAAAAGAAGTGAAAACAAGCACTCAGATACTTGCTCACCCAAGTTCCCAGCAGCACTATTCACAAGAGCCAGAAGATGGAAACAGCCCAAACATCCATCAGCAGATGGACGGCTAAACAAGTTGCAGTTTGTATATACACAATGGAACATTATTCGGCCATCAAGAGGAATAAAGTAGTGATATACTACAATGTGAACGAAGCTCAAAAATAGTATGTCAAGTGAAAGAAGCCAAACACAAAAAGCCACATATTGTATAATTCCATTTATATGAAGTATCTGGAATAAGTAAACCCACCCGGACTGGTATGGCTCAATGGGTTGGGCATCTTCCTGCAAACCTAAAGATTGCTGGTTCGATTCCTGGTCAGGGCACATGCCTGGGTTGTGGGCCAAGCCCCTGGTGAGGGGGGCATGCAAGGGGCATCCAATTGAGTTTCTCTTGCACATTGATGTTTCTCTCCCTCTCTTTCTCCGTGCCTTCCCTTCTCTCAAAAAACAAACAAATAAATCATTTAAAAATATTTTTCGAAAACAGAGTAAATAAACCCATACAGACACAAAATGATTGGCAGCAGCCAAGGGCTGGTGGTGGGAGGCGGACAGGAAGGAATGACAATGAATGGGTATGGAGTCTCTTCTGGAGGCGAGGAAACTAGCTAGCGGTGGTGGTTCCACAACACTGCAAATGCACTAAATGTTGTACACTTTGAAATGGTTATTTTTATACTATGTGAACTGTGAATGTCACCTCATTTTTTTAAAAACCAGAAAGTGGGAAAATGGAAAATGTATAAACATAATGAAGTATCTCGAGGGATAATTCACTGCACACTCCAAGGCAAGCAGATGAGACGGACTCAAACGGTTCTTGGAAACAAATCTAGGGGTGAGCTCCACGCTCTCATCACTCAACTGAAATTCAATAGAAGTGTTTTAGTTCATGTCTCCATGTATCCCATTTGCAAGGTTAAAGGTAAGCCTGTCCTGGAAGCTGGTGGATGACGTAAATAAATACACTATCTATAGAACTTCAAAGTGGGCATGGGGATAGCAGCTCCACTGTGAGATCTTCAGCCACAGCTTCAGTTATAGCTAAAAAGACTTTGTGCATCATCTGGTGCACAGCGGCCAGCAGGTCTTCCCAGGGCATGGAAGCAGAAAGAGGGCGCAGAGCTCCTGTTTTGGAAACACAGTGATTTCTCCATCCAGACTGGGCTTTCCTGACTCTTCAGTAATGTGTCCGGGATATTTTTCCAAAGACTGGGCCACTTGTCAACTCACAGCTTTAAATGAAAGAGAGCTGGAATTTATTTCTTTTGATGACAAAAGGGGACCTCACAAGAGGACCTGAGAGGCTCTCTATTACCTAAACACCTTCTAATGAGAAAGCAGTGGAGCATAGGAGTTAAGAGAGAGTATTGGCTATACTACTTCTGTGACCCTGAAAAAGTTATGAAACCCCTTTCAGCTTCAGATTCCTAACCTGTAAAATGAAAACATTAATCTCTACAGTAGAGGTTGTTATAGGGATGCCGTAAGAGTACAGGTAAAGAATTTGGCTAAAGGAGGTACTCGACTTATGGTGACTATGATTATTTTACCACTGTACTTACCTCTAGCTGGAGGTAGACATGCTCAGGCATCTTCTGGCCGTAGGTTTCCAAAAGTGTGATGGTTTCTTTTAGTGGCTCAAACAGTTCATCAGTATCTCTCTGTCGGCTTCTCACAGCCAGAAGATGCCCCATGATGTCAACTAGACCATCGTGATCACCTTCACCTAATTCTCTCTGAAGTCCGGCGTCAGTCTGCTTTATAAATTCTTGCAGCTCATTCAGACTATTAAATACATACAGACATGCATGTATTTACAGGCGAACACAGATTAAGCTCATTAAAACATTTGGAAGTATAAGACTTCTGACTAAATCTTATTTCCATTATTTGCCTAATTAAACATTACTTGTTATCTCTATTAGAAACCTGGCAGTTTTAATGCGGTTAAAATGAGTATCTCGGTTTTAGAAAGCAGTCGAGTGTCAAGTTCTAATTCCAAACACCGAAGCACAAAAGGCTACCTGTCGATGACAAATCTCAGAAGATGCTCCTGAAACATCCAGCTCCATTTCTTAATAATGTGTAGCAAGTTCACTTTGAAAGGCTTCATGTCCACTTTGAACCAACCATCAAACACTCTGAAGTCACTGAACTTGCTCATCTGACCATATAAAGCCTCATAAATGTCAATCTACAATTAGAAAAAAAAAATAACTGCAACAACTCAATCAAAAGCCAAGAACGACGTTAAAAGCTAAAGGGTTTCCTTGCCTGTTCCTTGAATTGTTCCAGGGTGGGTGGTTGTTCAGGGATCTCCTCATTTGTGTGAGCATCCATTTCCTCGGATGAGGCAGTTTGGCCATACAGCAGAAAATGCCTCATGAACTCAGCCCGGTCATCCACCCAGAGGTAAGCGTATGTGTCCAGGGTATTTCTGAAGTCCAAGACTTTGCTGATGATGCCTGCCACTCTGTTCATTATCTCTTGCCTGGCCTCCACCAGGCCTAACATGTTATCCATGTCATTCTAAATGAGAGGAAAACTGAGCACTTATTAAAACCAATCTTGCCCCATCAATTACGTGCAACCTTCAAAAGGAGAGTAGTTGGTAAAATCAAAAATGACACTGGTTTTTCCAACTTCTCCCTGCCTGTGCTCCCCATTATCCCAATTTATTTTGAAACCATTAATATAAAAACTAAAGCCCATGTACAAAGATAATACCTGATAATTTGCTATTTCCAGATGTGCTGCTACTCGCTTCATCTGGGCCGACATTCTAAAACTATTGCATAGTGTTTCTTCTACCAGATCATAGAAGCCATCCCCAGCCTCTCTTTCTAAAGGAGGTTTAAACAGAATCTCAGGGGGCATTAAGACCATCTGTGCTTGAAAAAATGGTGCAGGTTTCAGTTGCTTCTCCGTATTCTTCAGAAAGAAGTCTAAGTCGTGCATGATGGCTTGAAAAAAGCCTTCCACCACGAGGTCATCAATGAATTCCACGTAAATCTTCCAGGTGTCCAGAGAAGGATCGGCTTTGAAGAGCTTCCTATTTTCCTAGAAACATGAAGTATTGGTACATGAGAATTAACACTAGTGAGTATAAAAACAAATGCATTCCATTTAAATGGTTTGTTGAGAGAAAGGACTGCATGTTTGCCATAACACAGGAACATTCAAATGCTAGGTTGCAGAAGCTTAAGCTAAACAGGATTTTTTAACATCAAGTTCATTTTAAAAATACATTTAAAAGTCATTCTTTAAAGGAAAAATCATTATGAGGATTGCTCTCGTCAAAAACAGATGAGAAATATACTAGTTCCCAAAGCATTCAAGATGTATTTGACCTGGGCTCTAATTCTTGCTGTCCCCAACTCTGTGTGGCCTTAAACTTTGCCTTCTGGGGGCTTGCTTGTAAATGAAGAGGTTTCCCAAAGTGGTTCTTCAGAGAACACTGTGCTGGGATATCCAAAGTTCACAAAGCCAGCCAAGTGTTATGTGCTCTGGGCCACTCTTGGAGACTCATGGTGCACCTATTACAGTAAAGTCTATCTAACTTGGTTTAACCCAGTTGTTTACAAACACAAAGAATCTTTCCTGTAGGCCGGCCTGTGAGCAGCCTATGGAATAGTAACTTAGCTCGGGACACAGTGGCCCACTAAAGTCTTAGCTCCATTTGTGCTTCAACAACATGAAATCCTTCTACCTCTTCGGGCCCTTCCCAAGAGTGTGGGGGAAGAGATAAACAGTCAATAGGGCACAACGGGGCCAGGCACAGGTACGGGAAATGACTGCTAGAGGCTGGGCGTGCAGTGGGGAGGCCTAGGGACACAGATTCGAAAGGCCGGGTGGGCAGCGAGGTTGATTCCACAGACAACTTCTGAGTGGTAAAGGCTGCACTGTCTCTACAGGTCAGAGGTCAGATGCCTGAGCCAGAAACAGCAGCACAGAGAAAAGAGAACATTGGAACAGGAGCCGATTCTAAAACAGACGGTGTTCTCTGCTCTCTTGGACCACGTGCTACTGCGGACGTATGACCTAGAATTCAAAGGTGTGCGCTACAGGTAAAAACCTGAATGCAGAGGCGAGTCTCCCTTCTGATAAAGTCGGGAAGAAACGAGCAAGTTCTAGGGGTTTCTTACACTCACACAAATTAAAGAACTGCCGTTTCAAGGACACTCTCCTGCACACCACCCGAGTGGAACCATTTACATGTGTGCAGCACACGTGACCGGCACGCCTGGAGTTGTGCAGTACTCGTCCTGCGCAGCTGTACACAGCAGTCCTGACTACTTGGCAGACACATGAAAGGGAAATACAGATCTCAGAGCTAATAAAAAATCCTTAAAGACCATCTCATTCAGTATCTTCATTTTAAAAATATGAAAACAAAGACCTAAGCCACACCCCATGTCACACTGGAAGGAAGCCAGCTGCTGAGCAAGGACCAGACACCATCCCTCCCTCTTGCCCCCTACAGCGGGGTTGATTGCAACACAGCACAGTAATATACCTGTGCTTGCCTCCTTGTTTCTACTGCCTCATACCAAGAGATCCAGTTTGCATCACTGCAGTGGCATTTATAAAGAAGTGTTGTCTTTTCAACAATTTAGGGCAAAGGCAGAAAAAAGAAGAAACAGGAGAGCTTTGGGCCACTAAATGATCACTCAGGTCCCTTCCAGACCCAATCTTCCATGGTTCCACCCTGCCCCTTTCATCCCGAACTCTGACTGCAAATCCACACGCCACAAAGGATGCCACATGAAAAGGCAGACTGACTCACCCTCTGCCCTATTTTCACAGCTTTCACCAAAGCACATTCCTCACTGGAAGTCTGAGCACCGGGCTAAAAACCATTTGCTGATGCGAGGAGGGGAAAATGCACCTCTTCTCCATGTAGAGTTAATCCCTACCCTATCTCACCCAAGTCCATGGCTTTCCATAGCATGTATGTGCCCTTGACTCTTGATTCTATGTCACTCACCTGAACTTCTCCCCTGCACTCCAGACCCCCATTTGCAATGCCAACCTACTCAAAGTCTCCCTTTGGGTGGGCATGTCTAATGAACATGGCCCAAACCAAATCCTGCTTTTTTTCCCCTACAAAATCTGCTCCCCCACAGTTCTCCTTATATCTATAAACTCCATTCTTCCTGTTGCTTAGACCGAAAACCTCAAGTCATCCCGGACTTCTCTCACCTCTAACTTGTCACAGCAAATCCTATTGGCTCTTCCTTCAACATACATTCAGCCCTGGCTGCTGGGGCTCAGTTGGTTGGAGCATCATCCCATAGACCGAAGGGGTCACAGGTTTGATTCCCAGTTGGGGCAGAGATGGGAGGCAGCCTACTGATGCTTCTATCTCACATTGATGTTTCCCTCCCTGCCCCAGCCTGCCTCCTTTCTCTCTCTCTCTCACTCTCTCTCTCTCTCTCTCTCTCTCTCTCTCTCTCTCTCTCTCTCTCTCTCTCTGCAAGCAATGAAAAAAAATGTTTTGGGGTGAGGATGATTTTAAAAAACAAACATTCAGCATGCGAGTGCCTTCATCACTGCCACCCTGATTTCTCACCTGGAGCCCTGGCATATCCTGCTAACGGTCTCCCTGCCTACCACCCCCTTGCTCCCCTGGGGTTTGCACTTAACAGGGAAAGCCTCTGAGCAGAGAGTCTCTGGCTGCTGTCTCCCCTCAGAGTGGAAGCCGTCCTTCTCACGAGGACTGTCCTCAGCAGACGGTTGAGAGCATTACATGAGATGCTGTGAACAAGATGGCTGGCAGCTGGCAGCACTCAGCAAATAACTGTGGCTATTAATAGCATCCCAAAGAGGACATAACTATGACAAAGATGAGGGACCCATCTGAAAGATGAGATGAGGGACTCGCCTTTCTGTTGCATTAACTATCCCCCTTTCCAATGTCTTCCCTCAGGAAGGAGAACAATGAGGTCTCTAAGAGGCGCAAATTCCTTCATTTTTAAAGCTTGACAAAACAATACATAAAGCTCTTTCAGGACACGGTAGGTTCAATATTTTTGCTCCGTTTCTCAGCTAAATGAAAGGATCACCTATAAATGTTATGACCATAAAAGCAACTACCTCCACCAACTCGTGTATCTTGCAGCCGTCCTCTTGGATGAGCTTGTACTTCTTGGTAAACAAATCGCCCTTGTCCTCCAAAGTGAAGGTGGTCTCCCTCCGGTGCTCTCTCCGGGGAAGGAGCGTGCACTCGGCCCAGGCCCGCATGGTCTGCTGGATGACTTTGACATTGTGCTGCGTGCGCTCGACCCTGCACTCCAGCTCCCAGGTGGCCGCTTTCACCCTCTCGATGTATCCCCAGCAGTCATCCTGCCACGTGAGCGATGTCGCAGCCACCTGTAGCTGCTCATCCACAGCCCGCAGCTCGTCTTCAATCAGAGGGTATTCAACTTCCAGCAGAGTCTGTTTCAGCTTGTTGTATCCTTGCACGAGCAGTTCAAGATTTCCAACATACTGAGCAAAGAGAACCCCAAACATGTTAAAGCTACTCTGTCTCCCTAGATGCAGAAAAGCATCACCAGTTTCTGTGTCAGTAATTAAAATTCAAAATAGTTCTGTTCAAAATATGCCCTAATAGGTATGAAACACAAACCTTTAAAATGGTGCTCCTTTTCTGGAAGATGGCTGAGGCTGAATCTGGCACGTCTGACTTCTTCAGCATCAAGAGGTATTTCACTTCCCTCAAGACAGCCACTAGCTATTGAAAGAAAATCAATGATTATTGCGTGTCATTCTATTTTAGCACAAGTGAAAATCAAAACACTTAACTTTTGATCCAATCATCACTCTAGTTTCAAATTGCCAAGGGGAAGCCAAAGACAGCCACATACGCACACCAAGATCTAAAACGGAAGGCTCGTAAATGGACCCTGGCCTGCTCCCAGGATCTTTAGTTCTGTTAGAATGCTTGCTTCGACAACACACGTTTGTTCTAACGTGAGTGATACACGAGGGAGCAATCTGAGCTTACCACAAATTTTGTCCTTGCTTATCCACACGCTCCTCAGCAAGAAACACTAGGTAAATGCTAACAGCTGCACCCAACTGAACCGATGGACCAAAAGGCTTAGGAATACACAAAATGCTCGTCTGGACACACATTGAACATCCGCCGGGTACCTCAGTTCACACGCCCGTCCTTTCTGGCGCACCGCTACCTGCCTGGTTTCAAATGATCCTCTTTCCACTTCACGATAACATACAAGTTGTAATTCTTCCAATACCCACTTCCATAAGCTAACTTCAGGTCTTTGTCAAGGCAAAGTTTCATATTTATTGTACTATTTATGTATTACTTAACCACTTAAAATGTGTAAAACTATGCTACTGTTCTCCCTAGATGACTGTTTTGCCAATGTATCGCTGACAAAGTTTTTGAGTCCTGCTCCCTAACCCCATGCCCTCCACAGGTCCTGTATTCCTAGTTGTGCACTCTTTCAGGATCCAGGGATTTTTAGGAATGTGATGTCATGTAGCAGAACCAACTGTACTCAAAAATCACAGGTTCTGAGGAAAAGACCACACAACATGCTTAAGAAGGTAAACCAGTTGACTTCCTTAGCTTGTCACTCCCTAGGTTGGCTAGTACAATATAATTTGTATTTATAATCTATATTTTGTATGTTTGTAATCCCTTCAGATAGAATTATCTGAAGAATTACCTAAATCATAAGAATTATCCCTATAACATCTCAGGATTTAATTTTCTATATACTGGATTTATAAAATCAGAAGGTAGAGGTAATTCTCCGTTCTCTGGGTCATATATTTATGTGTGTGTGCTGAGGCTTATGAACAAAAGTAAGGGATGGTATTCTTTGTAATATTTTAGGGAACAGATCAGAATTTGGGTACAGATCATAACTATCGAGCTCACAGAGGTTAACGTTCCCACTTCCTAGGTGTACATTCAGACTGCTGGGGAAGATAGGACGACAGCTAAAAATGATATATAACCTTCACTACCTAAAAATTCAGTCATTTAACTATTCTCTTTTGTGATAGCAACTTCCTGCCTGGTTTCAAACGACCCTCTTTCCACTTCACGATGACATACAAGTTGCAATTCTTCCAATACCCACTTCCATAAGCTAACTTCAGGTCTTTGTCAAGGCAAAGTGTCATATTTATTGTACTATTTGTGTATTACTTAACCACTTAAAATGTGTAAAACTATGCTACTTAGAAATAGATATTCTTGTGATGGCAACTTAGAAGTGGGTATTCTTGTAGGCCTTTCCTTCCCCGTGAAGTATATTCATGGGGGTAAACAGAAAGGAAAGCTCACTTGGTGACTCCCACCGAGCTATCAGACTTGGCAATGGGTTGTTTAAAGTATATATGTGGTATTTACCATGTATATGCACATATAGTCACTATATGTAAGCATATACATATAAAAATACATATTATTACTATTATATTAAAGTACTTGTACCTTAATTATTACATAACATGTAATCGAATTGTGAGAAAATACAAAATGTCTCTGTGTTATGTGGTTTATCCTGGGATAACAAAAGATCTGTTCAATAAGGACATTTTCTTGGATATTATTTCACTTTTAATATTATTTTTGGCATTTATATGTTGTCATGTTTTTCAAATATTGTTTCATAAAAATTACCATCAATTTAACAAACATATTCAAGTTTATTGTCCCTTTGAAGGATATTTTGATAATCAAAATTTACCATTGTCCATCACAGAGTGAGGTCTCTCATTCCATACAATATATGGATTCCCCAAATCTTAACTTACATGATCAAATTTTAATTAAACTAAAGATACTGGTATATGTGCTATAAATATAATTCAAGCCAGAACACACGATAAAAGACTAATGATTCCATTTGACTGAGCTAACATGTATTAAGTATTACCCAATCCCAGACACTGTTAGAAACACAGCAAACAAAGGTAAAATGACATGTTCCCTACTCTCAAGTAGCTCATTATCAAGTGAAGGAGAAAGTGGTAAATAAATAATTATGAGGCAAAATAAAGAGTAGTAAGTGTAGAATCTGGGAAACTAAAACCAAGACCTGTTAGAAGCTGTTTTCCATTACATTTCTCGTAGCACTGACATTGTCCCCAAATAAAATATAGATGACTGGATATATCAGGAATATACTTGTAATGAAAATTACATTTATTAAACATCTTTAAAACATCAAACCCCTACCTTTGGGTCAAAGTTGACACTGAGAAGACCATTTATGGCACTGAATTTGACCAAGGGCTGGTTCAAATTAAATTCACAGACTTCATCCACGTTGCTTTTCCATTCGTTAAAGATATGCTTTTCAAACTGGTCTAGCAGAGTTGTCATTTCAACATACTTCTGACGAACCAAGACATCGTCAGGACTTTCCACGAATCTGTAGGAATACGGTTTCTCCACTTTTCTATATGTTAGATTTCAGCTTAACTCCTTTACAATAACGTACAACTCAAAACACAAGGAAACACACTACCAAAATCAGGAAGAGAAACAATAAAAGCCAAATAATGCTATGATTGTCTTTGCCTTAAAAGCTGTAGTTATGAAATGAATGGAACTCCAAGGATTTTGCTAAATGCCAATAGCAACAAGTTTCCAACTCCTACAAAGAAAAGAGAAAGGTACAGAAGCCTACAAAATAAGAGGAACGGTAGTCATTGAAGGACTAAAACAATAACAAAAAAAATACAAACATATTGTGAGTGAGAAGAAAAAAGGATAAGGAGCTGAAGACAGGGAAATACATTAAGTTGTAGATCCCATTAAGCATGCTCCAGAACCCTGGGGGTGAACCCTCTGCGATGAGCCCAGCCACTGAAAAGAGTTAAAGGCAATGCCTTTTTAAGCACTAAGATGACCAGCTTCTGCCCTATCTCAAAACCACCTGTGTCGCTAGGATAATTTCACCATGAAATAAGCCTGACTACTCACAGACACTGGAGAGATGTGAAGTTTGCCCAAAACGTCTGAAGTCGTTCCAGGACCTCTTTTGCCCACTTGATATTTCCTGAGGCGAATGGCATATTCTTGTTAAGAATTACATGTCCACGTTCAATCTGCCAATTGTCATTTTGGTGACAAGGAAGAAAGGGAACATTCAATCAGAGTGCATTCCAGCCTTGTCAACAATTGTTCGCTTTGGTACTTTCACAGGATGAATATATAAAGCATATGTTAAGTGACTCAATTAGTAGATAGGTAATGGTCCTGAAGCAAGATCTCTATCTCCATAAGAAAACCAATTAAATAAAAGCATGAAGTCATAGTGCCTATATCTGATCTTTAGATACCACTCGATAAAGTTCTGGCCCTTACGCACACACATGATGCCGTGGGTGTGCTCAGCTTCACCCTTCACTTACCTGTTTCATGTGTTCATCATACAACTGCTTACACATATCCAACTCGTGATTAAACATGTGCACCAGGGTGCTGTAATGTGGGCTGAAAATTTCCATGACAACTGGTTTCTCCAGGAAATTCCCAAATATGGTCAAAAGCTATAAAAATCAAAGTTAAAGAAAGGTTAAGAACCATGGGGTTTTAATACAAATACTCAGCTCACTATTTCTCCCATTAAACCTCTTACATAACTAAAGCTAGAGCAAAAATGTAGAACCTTATAGGCACCCTGCAATATCTCCAAAACTGAAACACAGTTTTCCAATAAAACAAACTCTAAATGTAAAGCGATTTCCCTTCCTTGGTGGAAAATGAGAGGTGTCAGAAATGAACTGGCCTGCCAGTAATCCCTGCCCACAAATATCACTTCTTCCTGTCGGGCACCAGAAAATGTTTTAGAAGATGTTTGTGGATATAACAACAAGATTTATGAGCTCTTTTATCTGTTCTTTCCTCCTATGCATGTATTCTTTAGATATGGAATATCCAGATCAAGGACCTCTAGGTCACAGCATTAATAATTATACCGGATGCATCAGCCACAGTGAGGGTCCTCCTGTGACAGTGCCTGTTCCATACCATGCCACCCAGCCACTCTCAACCGAGAGGCCCGGGGTGGCAGTGCTGACCTGCTCCAAGGACAGCCACTCTCCAGACAGACAGTGCCTTTGATGTGAGTGTCCCAACTAAACTAACACCTGCAGCTAATTAGGTCCCCTCCCCAGACAGAGAATCGAACATGGCAGGCTGAACCTATGCTGCCAACGTTATGAGTGAACAGAATCGACCAGCAAGCAGAGGAAGCCAATGAATAGGGACACAGCAAAAAGCAGGGACGTGGCCTGAAACAGGATCACCTGACCAGACCGCAGAAGAGTGAAGGTCCCGCAAACTCCTCTGGCTCAGCTCAGGGAGCCCCCTCGCTCCAAGCTAACCTTCAGCACCAGTTCCCACTAAGCTTACCCTAGCTGGGGAGCCTGACCTTGGATTTCCATCAGCCTCCGGTCTTGTTTTCCACCCCACATGGATTCTTCTGCATGGGAGCACAAGACTGCTTTCTTTGCAAGCAAGATAAAGTCATTAAAATACATATTTTTGTGTAAGTCATGTTTATATAGTGGTGACAATGAACCAGGCACTGTATTTTAAAGGCTCTTTAAAAATGCCACTATCACATGCTCCAGATCAAGAAACCCAGTTCATAAGGAGGGAGTAACGTGCCCAAATTCACAGGGCCCCTGGCGGAGCTGGCACCGAACCCTCGGCCGCCTGCCCCCTGGGGACCTGCGCCTCCCCATGCCGCCTCCCAGCAGCCCCAGCGACATCTAAAATCATTGTTTTGTTATTTCCTTATTCTGTCTGTGTAGGCTTCATAAAGTGTTAATTATTAGGCCTGTTATATAGATATTTTCTTTGAAACAAAACATGGTCTCTTCTCAAAATAACTAAGTACAATCAACATGGCGGAAAACGATAAAATCAAGGTTTTTGCCTTGTTAGCAATGTGGCAAAAGAGCTATTTTTCCTCTTGGGGGAATAACAGGTGTTCCCTAAAATTTATTTTCTTTAAAAGACAGCTTCATTGTACACATTTAACATTTTGTAAACATTTCCATAAACTATGTTCACTGGGGGAAAAAAATCAACATAGTGAAAAATTACACAGACTGAAATGTAAATCTAACCTTATCTTAGAGGCCAGTTTAGACAAACACATTTTAGCTCTTTTGTTATTGTTGTTAATACTAATTATAACCACTGTAGAAACCACTAAATATTTTAAAATCTTCCTGGTTAGCTGCTACCTAGCAAAATGTAAATTATTAACTTTCTCCTCATGACCACTGGTTTGTCGAGTTGGGATTTCATGTTTAAGTTCAAAAGCAAACACCATGTCATAGGGAAACATTTATTTTACAACATTCTCATTCAAACACGTATCATATGGACTACAACTGAAACAACACCAGAAGCTTCCTAGCTACACCTCGTCCTGCCTACCTGATACGCTTAATGGGACTTCAAGTATAAAAGAGGAGAGACAGAATTTTCTTTAGAAGGTTTAAAGCTGGAGAGTAGCAGTAAAAAAAAAAAAAAAAAATGAGTCAACCTTTTAGGAAGTAGACATTATCATAATTTTTCACCATCACAGTTCCACAGTAATTGCCCTCCAGGATGAGAATAAAGGTTATCTGAACCTCTCGCTTTCTTGTCAGAGCGGAACTAAGAGCGATTTCATGAGGAATATAGGTGTTTTCTTCACATCAGCCTCAGGAGATGGAAGCTGGGCTCCCAACTCCATGCTTCCTGTCCCTAAATATCCCATTTGAGTCCTCTGAGGTTTACCTTATTTCCTCCTACTTCTTAGTTTCATTGTGTAATATGGCTTTCATAATGCTGTTTCCCCTGTTCAAGTAGTGTCTATTTATATTTTCCAAGGTTGGCCTCTTTCAAAGATTCTTTTAGATCTGTTGCTGACTAAACCATATACACTTAATTTTATAGTTTTCAATGATATTGTCTGAACGCTTTTCTAGACATCTTTATTTTCTTATACACTGCAGCCCACCTCCATAGACACAAATTGCAAATTTCAGAGACACATCTGTCAGTATTTTGGTTTTTTGGTTTTTTTTTATGAGTTCCAATGCTGTCGACTTTGAACTACAGCTTCATGCTAGAGTAGACCAGTGTTGGGGTCTGGGCCCCTTGTGGCCACGTCTTTGCCAAGACAGTCACTGAATCGTGCTCCTCAGGGAATGGTCGCAGATATTTACTCCCTGCGACAGTAAATATGGTCAGAGTTCATCATCCCACACCTACAGTAGGAATCTTCTTCTCCCTAAGTACACAATGCTATCATTTTTTCTTCTCCTCCCCCTGCACTCGCCCCCATCGGGGTACATTTCAATACTCTGACGACCCGTCAGCCCACCTCACTTCAAGCGGTTGCTCAGTGTCTGCTCTACCCAAGGCATTGCAGGTGATCTACATACAACAAAATCTGCATGGCAATGCCCCGCCCTGCAGAGTGCAGGGGGTGGGAGCCCATCCTACACCTGTTGGTAGACGGGGCACAGATACATGAACAGTAAGGAAAAGTACATGGTGGTAAGATAAAATTATTGGGGAAAAAACAGCTGGCATGTACTAGAATAGAATCCGTATTCCTGGTTGGGTGGAGGAGAGGAAGAAAGGCTTGAATTAGAAAAGGTGGGAGCCTTTGTAATGAAGACTTCGCTGTATGTTCTCCCTTCCAGTTATTACGGGAGCACACGGACAAGTAGCTCCAGTAGCAGAACATGGGATAGACTGCTGTGTAGTCATTCATTAAAAATATTGCTGAATTCTGTTATGAGAGGAAGAAAACCTTTATGATTCATTGCTAAGTGGAAAGGGTTACTAAGGGGGATCAGAATATGATACCATTTTTGTCAACGAGAAATATGTATGCATACCTAGTCCAAGAAAAAGTGTGGCAGTATTAAATATAGCAGTTTTCCTGAGAGATGGGATTACAGGGAGTTTTATATTTTAACAATAGTCTATATATTTTGGCCAGCAGCATCTCGGAACATTCCTGAGCTCTTAAAAAACAAAGTGGTGTTCGATCCTCTTGAGTTCCGTGTTAAAATCCCTGACTGGGGCCAGCAGACACCAGAGGCTTCACCACCACCTGACCAATTCATCTGAGCTTGAAGGTCAACATCAAACAAATCGTAGACACCATTTGTATGTTATATTGGTTTGCGCTGCCATTGTTAACGAACTGTGCCCGTGCATCCCTAGCTATGTTTCTCCTGGTGTCGAAGCGTCTCTTGTGACGGCTGACTCGCAGTTCTCTTCTTTGACAGGCAAGCTTCGCAGGCTGTCCTTAGTCCCTCCATTGTAACTTTCCCTTTGGGAGGGCCTTTCTGTCATGCAACCCCACACAACACGCACACCATATTTCATCAGTTCTGTGGTGACAGTCTTTCGTGTTTTAGTATCTCTGAAACTGGACTATGTTATATAATCAATGGCATAAGTTTTTGACATTTTGCTTTATTGATACACAAAAGAATGGCATGGCTGATAATCGGTGGTCTCTTACACCTGATGGAAGACAATAAATAAGTTGCTATTTGTTCTGGTTGGAGTAACAAAGTAGGCAGGTGAATGCGGCCTATGTAAGCAATGGTAAAAAAAAAGAAAAAGAAAAAGAAATTCTTGAAGTAATAGATATTTTTCAGTTTTCACCTTGAATCAATACTTCATAGGCCATGCCAAACTTACTCTGAAGGCAGTAGGACCTAAAACACTGTGAATGCAAGAAAAGATCAGTGGTGAAACGTCCTGACCTTGTCCACAGTAAACTTCATTGTTCATCAGTGCATAGTCCAAAGTTTATAATTCAGCGACCTGAATACAAAGAGACTGTGACCAATTAATAGCTTACCTGAATCAGAAAGAAATGTAGTCAATCCTTCATCTAACAGTCTAAATTATTCATTAGTAAATTATTATTACAACCGCTTCTTCAGAACTAACCTTAAATGCAGCTTCCAAACCATTGCAGTTAAAAAAACCTTCGCAAAGAATCGTCCCAAGCCTTCTGTCAAAATCCAAAGTTTTGGACTTAAACAGAACATAATCACTTTCAAATTCCTGCGAAATTCAAAGTAAAATATTAGTTTCCAGGAAAGAGCGCAACGGTGTAAACAGCAATCCCATGAGCCTAACACCCCTCCCTCCCGCCTGCCCTGCTTTCTGGGTGGATTTCTTCATCGCAGCAGGACTGCAGGGCAGGTCAGGAAAGAGCTGCACTGACCACCTGGCCAGGCGGCAGCCTCACGGGTGTACCGAACACCTAGCACCGTCAGCCCGTTTTTCCCCAATTTTTCCCACGGGTTCCGACCCAACCTCAGGACCCTGACCTTCCGGCGTGTCCTTCTTCTCCCAGCCCGTTTGGATTATAAATGAGAAGGCAAAGCTTTTTAGAAAAGGAAAAAGAACCCCTTCTCATTGTCACTTGAGTACATCTCTACATTTAAATAGGAAGTTTTTTGTTTTGTTTTTCAAGCAGCAGAAAACCTACCGGGAAACACTGCATCTTCAGGTGAGAACTAAAATCACAGGTCCGTAAAGAAGAGTTGTTAGCGATAAAGGTGAAACAAATCACCACTACATTTCCCCAGTGTCTTATTACCTTCCGTGCAGCTAACAGCCCCTGTTGCCTCCTGATACATAGCCACCCACTCTCATCATTAGAAAGCAGGAAAGAATAGGGGCTTGTCTGCACAGCACTGCAAGTCACCGCCTGCAGTGAAGACGCCCCGGAAATCCAGAGACACCCTGGGCTCTCCAGTCAAACTGCCCCGCGTACACATCGAACGTGAGAAAGTCCTTTGCTGCCTCCATAAATGGCCCCTCCATCTGCTCATAATAACAACAGAAATAATGATAATGACAGCTAACACTCAGTGTTCTGTTCTAAACGCTTTGCACTCTTAATTCTCACAACATACCATGTGGGTAATATTTTTTTTTCCGTTTTATAGGCAACGAAACAAACTCAGAGCAGTTGAATAACTTGCTCACAGTCACACCGCTGGTGGAAGGCAGCACCGGAATTTGAGGCCTGGCCAGCTGGCTCCAGAGCCCACGCTCCAACCGCGATGTTTCCGTGCAGGAATCTGCATGTGAATCGGACGCCCGCTGAAACCGGAGCGTAAGGCAGAGCTCTCGAGCACTGTCCGTCATAGATCGAAATGTTTTATTTAGCATCAAGGAAGTCTCCAGTTCTCCTGAACCACAGCCAAACAATCTTCACTCAAGGATCACTGACTTTGAAAAGGAAACACAACTTCCCCACAAGTTGAAACAAGCCTAACTTATCCCCCTTCTCCTTGTGGCAACAAGGAACATACAATTAAGATCCTCAAACACTGTTTGAACACTTAGTAAATAAGTAATATCTCAGGAAGGGAAAAAAGCTAATCTCCACCTGCATCTCTCTCCCAAACTCTTTTCTCTCCCTTCTTCTCTCAACCCAAATTTGGAACAGCCGATGGCAGCCTCCCCTAAGGAGTCCCACAGGGAATTCAAAGTTCTGTTGCACATACCTAAACTCACCCACTTCTTTATGGAGAGCTCTTCTTCATACACCCCAACAGAAATTCCGGCAGCCTCACTGACTCCTTTCTCTCTTGGTCAAGTGCAATCAGTCACCCTCTTAACCGCCCCTTGTGTAGGTCCAGTATTCTCTGTCTCCGGGACCTCACTCTGGTCCGGCTCACAATTACCGCTCCTCCAGATTTCTGCTAACCACTTTCTAACCTCTTTCTTGCCTCTAGTCTTGTTTCTCTGAATAATTCTCCAAACTGTGGTCTACACTAGCTTCCCAAAACAGAAACCTGATCGTGTCACTCTTTCAGTCAGTCCTCCAATTCCTAGTCTTAATTCGGAACCCTGAGTTTCTTAAGACAAAGTCTCCAAGGCTTACACAACCCACAGGCTGTTCCCTTGTCATCTGGACCCTGTTTGCACTCTCAACTATTCTAGCTTTTTTCCTGGGATCAAATCACATTCCCTCTCTCCGTGCACCAACCACACTTCCCTGCTAACCCTCTTCCCCTCACCCGCTTCCCCTCACACTCTTTCTAAGTGACTGGAACTTAATGAGTCCAACTACTAACACAAAGGATAATTATTTAACATGAGAGGGGTGCTAATTATTGCTATAATAGCAATCATATTACAATATAGAAATGTATCAAATTAACATGTTGTACACCTTAGTGCACATGTTTTATGTCAAATATATTTTAGTTTACAAAAATAAGTAAGAAAGAAAGTCTCTGCCCATGACTGTTCAGATCTCAAACAGTCCTGCAGAAAGAAGTCAAAGAAAATACCTAATAACTGAGAAACCCAAGAACATTTCATGGATATACCCAAGAAAACCCACACTCTGCAAACAGACTACAGGGGCAGGCCTTCTGCCACACCAATAAAGATGTGTAGATATAGATATAGATAGTATATAAGTATAGATAAGTATATAGATATATAGCTGTAGATATGTACATATATGTCATATTTGCCCTTGACATAGATATACAGACATGTGTACATATATGCCTGTATATATATGTCAAGAGCGAATGAGTTTTCTATGCCTACACGTCTGTGACTGTGCAGGCTTTGGGCAGACACGAGGACAAGTTCAGGAGCTTTGATGTTGCCAAGCCGGTGACAGCAGCTGAATCTGGCCACGCTCTCCGACACCGTCACTCTGAAAACCTGCCGGGTTCTGGAATCGTGAGAAAATCACGACTCTCCAAAATACCAGTCGAGTGAACGGAAGGGTCCTGGGTGCGCTGGGTCTCACGCTCCTCGGCTCGGTTGCTCCGGACAGCTAAGCCAAGGCCCCACTTGGAGTCCAAGTCCATCCGCATTCCTGCATTGCCGCCAAGCGCCAGACGTCGTCCCAGGCTCCGGGGATGTGCTCAGGTTGTCGTCACCACGATCCTCCATTCCCCCTACTTTGTCCACAAATCAGCTGGGGCACACACAGCAGTATCCTCTTACCATTAACTCCCCTTCCCAGAAGCTGACTACCGTTACAAGGATTAAGTCTGCCACCTTGTCCTTACAAAACTAAAATACTGCACCTGCACATTTCAAGCAAGAATCAAGCATTTGGGCATATTTAAATGATTGTGAATAAACTCACATTCCTTAAAAAGCAATAAGGTTAGTTTTCTTTTTTTTTAAACCAAGCTTCATTGTTCTTCGCAAACCACTAAAGTGAAGCTATTTAAATCCTGGAACTCCCAGGTCATGCCCTGGCCACTAACATGCTGGGCGGGGTGGGGGGGTGTGGTGCAGAAAGCAGAAGCAGCTTACATCTGAAAGCTTCCTTCCATTCCCTAATGTCAAAAATATGAAATTATAAATAGCTCTGAAGCCTAACAACGAAAAATATGAAAGATGACATTCTTGCTAATGAGGTAAGTAGTGAATGGGATGAAACTAAATGTTCCAATAGACCAGAAAATTATCTAGTGATTCAAGAAAAGGGTGAGACAGACACACAGGCTACACGGTCATCAGATGATCAGATCAAGGTAAGTTAATGCGTAAGGCCCTTTAATATGCAGAGTCAGGAAACAAACCCAGACTGCGGTCTACCGTTGTGTTAGAAACAGCTCTAAACTGAATATGTTATACAAAGGGCTAGCCTTCCGGTCCCTGGTCTGTCACTAGTGAGCCTTCAAGCAAGTTATTCAACCTCCTTCATCCTAAAGAGGCTGGACTGGACGGTGCCTGTTATCACTACGACCTGTCGTCTTTTCCAACTTTAAAATTAAAGAGTCTATGGAATAAAAACTCCTAGGTACAGTATTACCATGTTATTGTAATCAGATGGGTCATACGTGCTCTGCTGGAAAATTTTACAGAGTTCCGTAAATTCTTCAGTCATCTCGCGGATTTGCCCATTCAGAATGGCTCCCTTGGTCCCACCAAATTCAAGTCTCTCCAGCTTTTCAAACTCCATTATGGTAACAAATATGTCCTTTGAAAAAAAACACAGAACAATAAAGATTTGTCCACCACCTCGAGCAGGAAATAAAAAACATTTTAAAGTTGCAAAGAAATAACATTTTCAGAGATTGAAACGCTGTGCGTCAGTGGACACTGGTGTGACACAGACGAATGTGGATGGTTTAGTTGATTTTTAAAATCACACTCCCATTTTCGTATTTACTGAAAACCGTCCAGCAGTGCCGGCAAACCTAACTTACCGTGGCTGAACAAGTGACCCTCTAATTTCATATCCTTCTAATCCTAAGTCAGATCCCCAGTAATATACAAAACTCATACTGTCAGCCGCCCACACTTTGCAGGGAATCGGCTGTCTCTTCGTCAGTTTGCAAGGATATTATGAAAGGGTGACTCACGTTGCTTGTTGTTAGGCATTTAGTGTTCACACTTTACGAGGCATTCAGGCTGATTAAGTGAAAATGAGAATTTTCAAAAACCCAAGCTCTAATTTTCAATGAAATTCAACAAATCTTATATCAACAAACAAACCCAAACTTGCTAGAAAGAGCTTTACAAAGAAAATCAAGGTAGTGCCACTAGCTCAAACTAAAAAAACAAACAAACAAACAAAAAACACTTAGCCAGTTGACTCCATACTGTGGGTGAGCACGAATGTGCATGCAAATGCATGCATTCATTTAATTTTGGTTTTTAGTTATTTAAATATTTATGCAGTACATATTTTCATATTCTTTTTAGTTTTATATTTTAATAGCATAGTATATACATTTAGTATATACACTAAAAGACAGTGTGATATTTTAGAATACCAAATGGTTTTAAAGCATGGTATCCCTGTGTCAAACACTAAACATAAAAAGAAAAAAGGAGGAATAGTTTACAGTGCTCTGATTTACAACTGTCTTCCAGGAGCACAGTAAGTCATAAGCCAAGGGTCATAGGTACAGAAAAAAAATCACTTACTCCCAACATAGTAAAATGATGGGAAAAAAAAAAAAAAGTCAGCCCTGGCCTGTGTAGCTCAGTGGATTGAGCACGGGCTGCAAACCAAAGTGTTGCAGGTTCGATTCCCAGTCAGGGTACATGCCTGGTTTGCAAGCCACGGCCCCCAGCAACCACACATTGATGTTTCTCTCTCTCTCTATCTCCCTCCCTTCCCTCTCTAAAAAAACAAATAAAAAATCTTAAAAAAAAAGTCAAGCTAAAGTTTTAAAGCTCTCTTAATAGCCCACATCTTGTAAGCTCCTCATGAGATCACCAAGAAAGGAGACCTCCCGCCTTCCACCAAATAAACTTCCCTCGAATCATGGAAAAAGCTACAGGATTTCTGAACCCACCTACAACATGAATAAATTGCAAGTCAATAAATGAATACCTCTATTTTCATGAAGCGGTCCAGAAATTTGTCAAATCTACAAAACACCAGATGAGGCTGGAAATCCCAGGGTTTCGCCTCCTTGTTTCCCATAAAATAGTTTGCCAATCCTTTTCTGTAGTTGAAAAAAGAAGTTTTGAAGGTCTTTAAGACATGAATGGCCACCTGCACCTTTTCCAGGGAGTCATCAATTTCTCCTTTCAGGAGGTCTTCAGGTGAAAGGTAAGCTATTGCCTAGGATTTAATGAAAGGAAACAATGATCAAAAATATGTTCAATAGTTTTTCATGGACAACATTTGTTTCAATAAATCATTTTGTTTTTCATTTAAATTTTTTTCAATAAATTATTTTTAGATGGCAATGAATTGGGCCATCAGTGCTATAAAACTGAAAGCACAAATTTTAGAAATTCAGGCACTTGGATTTCAGTGATGTATACATTAGAATAATCTACAGACAACTAAAATCTCCAGATGGGACTTCCAGTCAAGAGGTGGCATAGGCACACATGGCTCACCTCTTCACACAACCACATCAAAATTACAGCTAGAATAGAGAATGACCATCACTCAAAACCATTGAAAATGGGTTGAATGGAAGTCTGACAAGTATGGAATTAAAGGAACCACATCCATCTAGACTGGTAGGAGGGATGCAAACACAGAACAGGCTGGTCCCATACCCATGTGTGGTGAATAAAAAATTCGGGAGGGATATCTCAGGAATGAGGAGTCCCAGCCCCCACAGGCCTGCCAGCCCAGGGTTCCAGTGCCAGGAAGATAAGCCCCCACAACTTCTAGCTACAAAAACCAGCTGGAATTGAGTTGGGGGAAGAAAGGTCTGGAGCCCCAAGCAGTTTCTCTTAAAGAATCCACAACAGACTCACCTACTCAGACTCACTTCCTCTCAGCTCCAGCCCTGCAGTAGCAGCTTGAAAGGCACCAGTGCTATACAAGGAGAAACCGAAGTGGCTGGCATCAAGATGAGCAGAGGCCACTGTCCATTTTCTAAACCTTACCTCCATAGAGCTGGCCATCTGGTGCCATATTTGAGACTTCACCAACCTGGCTAACAGTTTGACCTGCCATGGAGATCCCCAGAGTCTCTGTCCCACCCAACTTACAGGCCACCCAAGCTGCTTTTCCATATGAATGGCTGGTCTTGGCTCATGCTTCACAGCTTCCTGAATCCTGTCAAATAAGCAATAGCTGGCCTCATTGAGACCCAGGCCTGGCACTAGCAACAGCCAGCTTAGATTCACAGCTTGGCTTTGCCTGGGAATCTCCAAGCCCAGCACAAGTAGCATCTATCTTAGATTGCTTTATAGCCTAGGCAGGGTACCTAGGGGAAACATAGGTGGGGGCTGACCTTGGCCTGTACCACCCAGGAAAACCCAGGGCCAGTGCACCCAGTGGACAGCTACAGGCCATGTCAGAGCACTGCCACCCTGCCCCTGCACAGCTCATTCTCCATGGAAGGCAGAGATTGGTGGTCAGTGTCAATGCCAGTCCCTATAACTGACTGACCTGGGTAAATCCTTTCCACTGACCTGCCAACAGCAACCAAGGCTCAACTGCAAGAAGAGGATATACTTGGCCCACATGAAGGACACACCTCAAGTACCCAGCTTGGGTGATAGGGAGGCTGTGCCACTGGACCCTATAGCACACCTACTACCTTAGGCCACACTACCAAGACATGGAGTCAAAGCAGCTCTATCTAATACATAGAAACAAACACAGAAGGCTGCCAAAATGAAGAGATAAAGAAACATGGCCCAAATGAAAGAACAGATCAAAACTCCAGAAAAAAGAGCTTAACAAAATGGAAATAAGCAATCTATCAGATGTCGAGTCCAAAACACTGGTTATAAGGATGCTCAAGGAACTTAATGAGGACATCAGCAACATAAAAAAGATCCAACCAGAAATGGTTGACTCGCTAATTGAAATAAAGAACAATTTATAGGGAACCAACAGTAGAGTAGGTGAAGCTGAGAATCAAATCAATGATTTGGAACATAAGGAAGAAAAAAACAACAAATCAGAAAAAGAAGAGAATAAAAAAATAAGAGGATAGTGTAAGCAGCCTGTGGGACGACTTTTAAGCAATCCAACATTTGCTTCATAAGGGTGCCAGAAGGAGACTAGAAAGAGCAAGAAACTGGAAATCTATTTGAAAAAAATAGTGAACTAAAACTTCCCTAATTTGGTGAAGGAAATAGACATATAAATCCAGGAAGCATAGAGTCCCAGACAACTTAGCCCCAAAGAGGCCCACTCTAAGATATGTCATAATTAAAATGCCAAAGATTAAAGATAAAGAGAAACTTAAAAGCAGCCAGAGAAAAGCAGAGAGTTACCTACAAAGGAGTTCCCAGAAGACTGTCAGCTGATTTCTCAAAAGAAACTTTGTAGGTTAGAAGGGATTGGCAAGAAATATTCAAAATCATGAAAAGAAGGGACTTACAGCCAAGATTGTTCTACCCAGCAAAGCTCTCATTTAGAATGGAAGGGCAGATAAAGAGCTTCCCAGACAAAGCAAAACTAAAGGAGTTCATCATCACCAAACCATTATTATATGAAATGTTAAGGAACTTATATAAGAAAAAGATCAAAACTATGGACAATAAAATAGCAAAAAATACATACTATCAACAACTGAATCTAAAAAGCTAAGCAAACAAGAAGAACTGAGACAGAATCATGGATACAGAAAGTGTTTTGATGGTTGCCAGATGGGAGGCAAGTGGGGGAGAATGGGTGAAGAGGGGAGGCGATTGGGAAGTACAAATAGGTAGTGACAGAATAGCCATGGGGATGTAAGTACACTATAGGAAATGGAGTAACCAAAGACCTTATACGCACAACCCATGGACATGAACAATGGTGGGGGGATTGCCTGAGTGGGGGTGCTGGGTGGAGGGGGACAAAGGGGCTATAATCAGGACAATATAATTAAAAATAAATAAATTTCTGGATGCATGCATTCTAGCAATAACTACCTTTTTGCTAAGCTTCATAAATATGACAACTGTGTCATCAGAATTTGCATAAATATTCCTGTCAGTGAATACTCTCAGGGTTGTCCAGTCCACAGCCTGTGGGCTGCATATGACCCAGGATGGCTATGAATGCAGCCCAACACAAAATCGTAAAATTACTTAAAACATTATGAGATTGTTTTGTTTTCATTATGTATTTAATGTGTGGCCCAAGACAACTTTCCTTCCAGTGTCACCCAGAGATGCCAATGGGTTGAACACCCCTGCTACAAAATTGTTTTCTCATGTATGGAAGTACACAGCCAGGAGGGCACATCTATCCGACCATGGATTTGACAGAGATGGTCACCTTACCTGGCCATGCAAGGTCATTGCAAAGATGAGAGCGCTGATGGGGAGGGTACACCGCTGGCAATTCTTTGACGTTAGCAAACTTCTCTTCTGGGGGCTGTGTAAGCCCCCAGGACATAAAATCTAGCTGATATATGCCACATGAACTACTTTTGAACACAGGAAAGGGCAAGGGGAGAAGGACTGAAGGAAAAACACAGCTTCGCATCGGACCATCGAGCTCTCGCAGGACCATTGTCTGGGCTCCCTGCACTCCTCACGCTGCACAGTCAGAATTCCCGGTTAAGGACCTCAAGAACCTGTACTTTCTAAAAGTTCTATTGTATGTTATTTCTTCCAGATGCCTCTCAAAGTAACCTCATATAAATTATAGTAAGTGCTCACTCAACATCACATATAGGCTCTGTGACTATCAGTGAAACAATGCATAACAAAACCATTTTCACTGTAGGCTCATAAAAACAGGAGTTAATTAAGCTCCTATGGTGTCTCATCAACATAACAAAATGACATTGAACAAATAATGTTATTTGAGGACCTACTGTATAGGTTTAAATTGTGTGCCTTTGATTTTGTGGTTGCTTAGAAAGTTAGCAGAGATCTCAATGGAGAATGCAACAAAGTCCACTGAGTTCACTGTAGCACATGAAAAGATTTTTTTTCTAATGGTAGACATTATCCTCCTCCCATTAATAGCAGTTTTATGAGCAATATGAACTCTGTACCAATGAATTTGTACAATGATAAGAAAATCATTCATTTAATGTTTAAAATCCCTACTGATAAGAATCCTTCAAGTTTTAGCTGTAGATGGCTAATCTATGCTCTTCTTTCTCACCCAGGCTGGGTGGAAAATTAACTGCTACCAAAGGCTGCCAGCATTTCACACAGCCCAGAGAGGAAAGCTAGCAGTTACCCCTCAGCAATGTGAGTGTAAGACAGTTCACACTTTGATAGGAGCGAGGGATTCTAATGCCTTAATCTACACGTATTCTTCATGATGAATATGTCCTTTTAGGAAGAGAAAAAGGGTCTATGGACATCACTCCAGTACTGTCTCTGTTTCAGCCGTCCCTTGGGAGCTAGTTCCCTACATTTGAAGTAACTTCCCTTGGGCAAGACATCCTTATGTTCTTTTCTGTGCTTCTTAGCCATCCCTCACATCTATGAGACAATCACAGCAATCAACTTCCTGCCCATACAGCCCACTGCTGAATAAGACCTCGGAAGGCAGGGGCATTGTACTACATATCCTGCATCACAAAACCCAGTCGAAACCCTTTCACCGGGTAGCAGGGTAGGTGACAGGGTAAAAAAGCATCAGCAAGGGCAGAAGACCTGGGTATAATCCAGTTAGTGACCACCATTGGGCTTGTAACATTAGCTAAGCTGTCTCACAGGACCTCAGTTGCCTCAGTTGCAAAAAAGAGAGAGTAATTAAGTAAGTATCAAGATCCCTCTTAGCTCTTAAGCTCTGAATTATTTTCTGCTTCCTCCGGTAGCTCCCTGGAACAAACCCAACCACACCAGCTCTCTGTTCTCCTATTCGATGGTGGTAGCACAAACCAACCAAAGCTGCTGGATTCGGGACGAACTGGTCCCACTTCGCGGGCTTTGTACACTAAAATTCTGCCAACCAATTCATTTACCAAGAAGCCAATTAATCAATTAGCCATTAAGCAATTTATGAATAATATTATCCATTAGATGCCTGTCTCCCAGTTTCTTTTCTTTTTATGTGCTTTTACGGATTCTTACTTTGGCTCAATCCTGACACCTCTTATCCAGGTTCGACCTCTTAGACTCTTCCTCACTTAAGATCTTGTGAAGGACAAAATCCACGACCGCGATACTGAGCCACCTAACAGATGGGTTGGGGGCCTAGGGTGGCAGTGACGCACAGCAGAGCTGCGTTACCACAGAAACTTTCAAAAAAAGAACCCATTATCAAAACTCCAGTGCGTTATCATCTGAAGTGGGCAGGTCATGTCTTTTGTGTCTCACCTAAATGACTGTGTTAACAATCACTGTAAGAAACACGTGAAAAGAAACACATTTGCTTCTAAAGTTAACAGCTTCTGACTATAACTGGAATGTCTGGGAGGATCAGACAGGCAATGAAAAGCAGTGCAGCAGAGCAGTACCAGCAGCAAACAAACAGTGGGGACCATGGCCACCTGGACAGCATGCAACCCACCCAGAAGGGCGCCTGGAGCTCCAGCAACTGACTGTGTGAACAGGGAGGGCAGAGCCAGCACAGGGAGAGCTCTGACTTTTCAGTGGAGGCTGGAATGCTGGGATTTTAAATGAGAATTCCTCGATTTAACTATCTGCAATGATTTTAATTGTAAAATAATACGCAAAATAAAAAACACTGTGTTGATCTATATATAGGTCAAATGCAGCTGACAATCAGCTTATGACTTCTGATGTATAACACAACAAGGATCCAAATGTTTCATAAACACAGATTCATGGAAGCAAAGTACATGAAAGCTACATAAGGAAAGAAAATTATAAAAAGCACACAAAATCTGTGATCACACAAATTGTGCAAGGTACAAATTAAGAAACAACATGGTACTACTATGTACCCAATAAATCAACATAAAGTTCTCAAAAATGTTCAAAGCTGATGAGTTATAGTAAAACTTTTATACATTGATAATAGCAGTCAAATTGACATAATCTTTTAGAAAAGAATTTATAAATATTAAACATTGTTCAAGAACCATAAAAAGATTGCACACTTTGATCAACATTAGGAATTCATATTAGCCAACTATCCAAGTTAAGGAAAAGGATTTTTGTATCAAGTTGTTTTCTGTATGTTGTGTATAAATAAAAGACGCTAGAAGCAACCTAAATATTCAAGAGTAACAAAATTGGTTTTCAAGAAGCTAGTAAATACACACACACACACACACACACACACACATATGCTTTGGGGAAAAGGAAAATAGAAAATGCTGGATTTTAAGGTGGTGAAACAGCAGGACTATTTCCATTGTTATAAATTTTATGCAATTAGAATATTTTACCGCTATTAGTACACCACATTTATACTGTAATTAAAAACAAAAACTTACTTTAAAATATAGATCAAAGCATAATGAGTAAGAGCTCCGTCACTTACAGTTGGGTGACTGTGAGGAACCTATTTATCTGCTCTGGGCATCAGGGGTTTTGCAGGGTTTTTTTAATGTAAAATAGCTTTACTAATAGCACCTTTGTCAGTGTTGCTGTGAGGATTGAGTTTGTGAATTTCTGGAAAGAGTTTAAAGGAGTCCCTGGCAAATAACAGGCATTATACAACATTTGTTAAATATAAAAAATAAATATAGAATCAGACAGTAAACAACTTGTGAGCGGTCAAGGGGGTTTAGCTCTCCACGGAACCCAGGTATGAAAGTTGGCTCATTGCTGATTTTTCATTCCTAACATGTTGGGGCAGATTTACTACAAGGTCCACTTGAAGAATCAAAAAAATAGGTCAATGGGAACTTTGGACAGAAGTCAGGAACAGTAACTAAGGAACAAGACAAGCCACGTTATTTCGTTGGGAAACTGGCACAGAGAGACTGGGGCCAGGGATCATAGGTTTACAGGCTTATAGGTAACTAGGACTTCTTACAAGCCAGCAACAGCAACGAGCAACCATTTCTGGGGTTCATACACTAACAGGGCTTATTCTCAAAATGAGATGAGGACCTGGGGCTCGGGGAAAGTGGTGGTTATAGTCATTGATCCTGCAACAGAGACTGTGCCTAACAACAGGGCAAAAAGTGAGTTTGTAGAACAGAGAAACAGAAACAGAATAAAGCCGGAGGAGATAAAATGGAACAAGGAACTGACCTGCTATCTCCTATCAACAGCTTCAATTAGCTGCAAGTGAATAGTTTGGAACTTTCATGAGTCCCTGTGAAATTCCACATTGGCGTTTCACTTCGGTTATCTCATTTGACCCTCACCATAGCCATGGACTAGGCATTATCTGCACTTTCAATGTGGAAACTGAGGCTCAGAGAAGTCACTGAACTTCCCTGAAGTGGTTCGATCAGACTTGAATCCCTCTTGGTCTGAGTCCAACGCACTTTCCGTGTATCTCTCCCCCTCTTCAGAAGCAGAGAGGAAAAAAAATAAGCACATTGATAACTCAATGTCATAGTCCAGAAACTCTTTCAACTGCAGGTCAGGAGACCTGCTCTCAAGTCCGGGGCCATTTCCCACCATATTCTGAGAGAAACTCAGCAAATGATGGTATCCTTCAAGTCTCAATTAATTAATTCATCTGAAAAAAATTATCAGGAGTTGGGTTGGGACACAGTTCCCTCACCAGGGCACCCTAGGTTTTCTCTTCATTACTTAGAACAGCAAAATTCCAGCACATGAGGCAGCAGGAGCTCCAGGCTGTTTGTCCAGGCTTTCAGCAGACTTTCCAGGCTCTAAATCCCGTCCACATGACCCCACTGCCCAACAAAAACATTTAATTTCCTAAATGAACCATGAAGTGAAAAGCACTGTGAAGCAGGAGACCAGATAAGTGCTTCAGAGCTATCACAGTTACCCGCTCTCCTCCAGCAAGCGACCCAGGCCTGTCCACAGCATCCTCCCTCGCAGGCCACGCTGGTTGTTCCAGAATGGGAATAAAATATGCTGAGCTAGAACAAAAAGACAGCCTCCTTCCGGCAAAGTTCCTCTACTGCCAGGATATACGTGTGGAGCTACCTTTCAGAACATGTGGTGGGAGTCTAAGAATCAAGGCCAACGCAAGCCCGAGTATGGCAGGAGGCTTGGAAATGATCATGCCGTCTCCCGGAACAAGCGATTCCTGATGTCACTGCATTCTCAGACTTGCCAGTATCACATAAACTTATACGCTGTTTTCGTTTGTCTGCTTTACTTCAGTTTGTCAGGTGCAGCTGGAGGAGATCCAATTCTGGTGAAAAGCCTTCTTAACAATTCAAAAGCTAAGCCATATACACAGATCCTAATTCTCTGGCATTTGTTTGGCAAGAAATTCCTTAGTGGATTCAGAGTTCAGACAAAAAACCCTGGTATGGACTAAACCATATCCCCAAAAATCTCTATGTTGAAGCCCTAACCACCAGGAGACAACTACCCAGGAGCCCTAACTACCTGGAGACAAGGTCTTTAGGGGGTAATTAAGGTAATGAAATGATGAGTAGGACCCTAATATGACAGGAGTGTAGCTTTACAAGAAGAAAAAGAGAAAGGTCCTTCTCCACTGTGTGAGGACACCAAGAGAAGGCAGCCCGTCTGCACGCCAGGAAGAGAGCCCTCACCAGAATCCAGCCATGCTGGCACCTCCAGAACTGTGAGTAAATGATTTCTAAAGAGGAAGCCCTCCAGTCCATGGTATTTTGTAATGGTAGCTTAAGCAGACTAAGATACAACTCCCTCCCCCCCAACTAAGAACCATCATATTATATGCCCTCCAAGTGTCTTTCAGCTCCCACGTTATACAATATTCTGATATTACGGATACAAGAAAAACGAACATTTACACAGGAGGATGCAGAAGCAATCCAATTTTAATATTTTGTGAGTTGACTGAAGACTAGAGAAACAATTATAAACCAGAGATTTTTTAAAGATCGACAATTAACCAACATTCTTTTCATGTGATTCTGCTTCTGTTTTTTGAGGGTAACTTTTCCAGCCAGATTCTCTTAACTCACTTGACTTGCCAAAAGTCTTCCATCGGCCAGTGTTCCTGTGGAAACCTAAGGGAAAACTACAAAGTGCTATACATAGCTGCCTTTTATTAGAAGTAATCTTAAATCTCTTTGAAGAAAGGTAGGAGATCAAACAAATAAAATTCAGTAACAACCGGTCCTTTGTATATATGTGACTTATGTCTAGAGCTCCTCTGCTTTTTAGGGTAAAAAGTCACCTGGCCCTTGTTCCTGTAAAAGTCCTGTCTGAAAAGAAGAGAAAAACTGTGTCCTGACTGTAGACGGGGCTAATGCATTCTTCACCGACCTAATAAAACTTACTACAAGGCAATCGTTCTGATCACTCCTGTTTTTAATGCTACATACCTGATCGATGAAGAGATTACAAAACGCTTGCAACAGAACTATAACCCGAGCGGGGGTGTTATAAAACTTGGAGTGGCTCCAGATCAGACAGATGGTGTGAAACAACGGGGCGATTAGTCCACGGGCCTGCGGGAATTGTGTCTCCTGCAGACACTGAATGTGCCTCCTCAGTGGTCGCAGGTGGAGTTCCACGTCCTGGGCTTCGAGGAGAGCTGAAAGGAAGCAAAGCACAACCCACTGTTCCTATGAGGCAGTCTCTCTTTTCCAAACTCACAGGTTCAAGAGAACAATGTCAAACAACATGGCTCTGCGTAAATGTTGTTCTTTCTTTTTACTTCATTTATCCCACAAGTGACACATGACAGGTTTGAAAGCCTCCATCCACCATCCATCAGTGAACCCCATTTGGGAGAGCCCTGGTGTGGGTACTCACACAGCACGAGGAACTGGGACTCCAGACTCAATAGGAAAACACTGTAGAGTCTAAAGAAACTTACCCAACCCCGTGGAAACTGTGGGAATAAAACACTTCTGGGAGGTTGTCGCTTTACGGCTTGGATTACAAGCTTCATCACTGGAATGTTAATTCCTCCTAGGTATTTGGACTTCAGTACAAGTTAATCATTTATTGTCTCATTCCAGTGTCCTATGAACATAATTCAGGCAACGACTGGAAAACTTTCTACTATAATAATATATTTATTTTTATAAAATAACTTTTATAAACTGTCAAGCATGGGTGATGAAGATATTTTGGAACTAAATAAAGATGATGGTTGTACAACAGTGTAAATATATCAAAGGCCACTCAACCATACACTTTAAAATGGTTATTTGTGTTTTGTGAATTTTACCACAATTGAAAAATTAAGCATGGTAAGAGTAAGGAATACTTTTTAAAATGCTATATATATATATATGCAAGGAAAAATTTAAATAGTTAACTATTATCAATTATTGCTTAACCTAATGCAAATTAGATATCTTTTTTTATATATTGTTTTATTTATTTTTAGAGGGTGGGGAATGGACGGAGAAAAAGAGGGAGAGAAACATCAACGTAAGAGAAATACCAATTGATTGCTTTCTTACACGACCCAATCGGAGACCAAACCTGCAACCCAGGCATGTGCCCTGACCCAGAATCAAACCAGTGACCTTTCACTTTGGGGGATGACACCCAAGTGAGCCACATCGGTCAGGGCTAATCCAAAATTTCTGAATTAAATTCGATTCTTAAATGTACCCTAGATGGATATCCATCAGACTCCATTTTGCTCCTCAGGCTACAAATACCTCTGATTAACCAAAAACAAACTTTGTTTATGAAGGTAGGGAATGAGGTAAACTCTTATCTTCAAGTGTTATCCCAAAACACCGTCAGGAAAAAAACAAACAACAACAAAACACCTGCTAAATCTTTGGGAGGCTGTCCGAGGCAGGCACACACCCACCAACGTCACTTTTCCTGACGTGGGACCAATTAGTTTGTCCACCTAAAATAAAGACCTGTGAACACAGAGAGGATCCTGGAACTATTGTTCTCCCCAGCTGCACTCCTGTTTTGAAACTGGAGTGCTTTCATCAATGTTAACTTTAAATTAAAATAATTGCATCTAATAGGTAAGCGCCCTTAAAGGTGATAAGCACATCTGGTGATTTCTCAGGACCCCGTGTGCGTCTAGGAGAGGGGCCTCTCCCTCTAACTGACAACGGCTTCGGGCCACTTGTGCTGCTGGAAGTGTTTTCCTCTGGAACTCCAGGCCACCTGCTCTTGAGGTTCTGAGCACACCTGAGACGTGTTCCTGTAGAAGCCTCACCAAGTGTTCGTGTTATGCTAATACAGGAAACAAACCACCATCGGCTTCTATTTATTATGGGTGTATTGTATGTGTAGTACTCTGTGCCCTGTGTATTACACCTGCAACACAGTGGTTCTCAGCCAGCAGGGGGTTTGCCCCCATGGGTCATCTGCCAATGTCTCAAGACATTCTTGGTTGTTATGACTGGGATGGGAAAGTAGGCAGGGGCCCGGGATACTACCCAAGACAGGCCCCACAAAAAGGATTATCCTGCCCAAATTGTCACTGGTGACAAGGATGAGAAATATTGCTCTAACCCTCAGAACAAGTCTGCAAGAAAGGTGTTAACATGCCAGTTTGGCCAATGAAAACCAGAGGCTCAGCAAATTTAAGATACACTGAGTGGACCTGGGCCAGGAATCCAGATCCGGCAGACCCCGGCAAGCCCAAATATCCTGCCTCACCTACCGCCTCTTTTCAAACAGAATTCACAGAAAAAACCCTAAAGATATATCAAAACATTTTCCTTTTTTAAAAGATTTTATTTATTTTTGGCCCTGGCTGCTTTGGCTCAGTGGTTTGAGTGTTTGGCTCCCAGGCCTGCAAGTTTGACTCCCAGTCAGGGCACAAAGGCCAGGTCCCCAGTAGGCCCCCAGTAGGTACCCTGAGAGGCAACCACACATTGATGTTTCTCTCCTTCTCTCTCTCCCTGCCTTCCCCTCTCTCTCAAAAATAAATAAATAGAACCTTTTTAAAAAAGATTTTATTTATTTTTGAGAGAGAGGGAAAATGAGGGAGAAAGAGAGGGCATGAAACACCAATGTTCGAGAGAAACATTGACTGGTTGCCTCTCACACACCCCCAACCAGGGACCTGACCCGCACCCCAGGCATGTGCCCTGATTGGGAATCATATCAGTGACCTTTGGGTTCACAGGCCAGTGCTGAACCCACTGAGCCACACCAGCCAGGGCTCAAAACATTTTCAAAGTAGCTTTTAAGTATTTCTTTTAACCCTCCACACATTACATAAGAAAAACTAAAAGTTACCTAATGTTCAAAACAACCAATAAAAGCTATTTGTCTATGTTATCTTAGAATTTTATCATTTAAAACCTCAGTATGATGTCTATCCCTATTTGCTCACACATGCCTATGGGAAATGAACAGAAGTCCAGAAACTGGGGAGGGTCGCTACCTCTCGGTGGGGGTGAGACTGGGTGGAGAGAGGATAATGAGGCTTTTCACTGGGTCCCTTTTTATAATTCCTGGTTTTTAGCAACACGCATGCATTGCCTGTTCAAAATTCACCAACCAAACCAACCCTCCTCTCTGTGCGTTTAGTCTTCACCAAAACCTCGATGACAACTTTGAGTTCTTCTCAGCTAAATGAGTGGTCCACGTGAGTTCTTCTCAGCTAAATGAGTGGTCCATTCAGAGACGTCCCTGGTGAACGACTGGACTGATTTCCGCCCGACTGTCGGTTAGAACATCGCTGTGCGGGGCTCTCATTTATCCTTTGGCTGAACACCGAAGGCCTCTCCCCTTCACACACACACATCTCATTAAAACTTCCATCTGCTGCCACTTTGGTAGGTCCCTACTACAGACCCTAAAATTTAGTGTAAATGGAGGATAAAGTACAGATGATTAAGACAAATTATCATTAGAAGAGCCGAGTGCAATCCCTCCATGAACAGGCTAATGGCATGGGGGGGCGGGGTTGAGCAGGCAGGCCGGGGCCAGGTCACTTGGGGCAACCAATGGCCAAGGAACAAGAGTCTTACCCTTCTTCACAGCCACGAAAATGTCCTTCCAAGTGGGGAAATAGCTGCTTCGTTTAGTTTTCAAGATCTTAACCATTTTGAGGACAGTAGGAGCCTGAAGCTAAATTGGAAAAAAAAAAAACACAAGAATTTATCAAATGGTCAAATGTCAGCTAGATGAATTACTAAATAAACGCATTCTGTAATACAGCACATTAATCACATTCCACTGCATGCATAATGCACATAGTATTTAACCCTTGAAGACCTATTTGATTTCAAGTCAAAAGTAATTTTTTAAAATTTTATTTACCTACATTTAGAGAGAGGGAGAGAAACATCATTGTGTGAGAGAAACATCAGTCAATTGTCTCTTGCACCCCCTCAAATGGGGACCTGGCCCGAAACCCAGGCATGTGCCCCAACTGGAAATGGAATGGGCAACATTTTGGTTTGCAGGGCTACACTCAATCCACTGAGCCACACCAGCCAGGGCTCAAAAGTAATTTTTAAAGTAATATTTTATCTTAGCTGTCTTAATTTGAATTTTCAAAATAATCTGTTGATTTACACATAAGTATATAGGTAAAATATTAAAATTTCCACATAAAATTTCTTGCTGTGTTTCAGGAAATCTCTAAGAGACATATAAACATATGAATAAATGTCTTAGTTTTCAGAACATTAAATTGGGTAACTTACAAGGCAAGTACCCAGCAGAGGGAGCAAAGTTAACTCTCCCAAAGCTACCTTTCTCTACTAAGCAAGACTGTATTCCTTCCTAAATCAATTAAATTGACTAGATTAATTAAATCTTACACTCTTCTATGTTTCCCTGGGAAATCTCTCTTTTTCTATGCCACAAAGTGTTTCCAATGATCTCAAACGCTGTCAAAATATTCTCCAAAAGCAAAACTAATTTAACCCCCATTAATTTAAAAAGTAGCACTTTTTAATGGAATAAGAGAACAAATTACTTCATAACATACTTTGAAAGACAGTATGTTAAATTTTCAGAATTACAGGAAATCACTGCTCTACAGACCAAATTCTACAAATGACTTTTCTAATTCAGATTACAAGCAACTTCTAGGGCTATCTACTTACTTGATCATAAATGCACGATAGGTTCTCTTTCCTCATCGTCCAGAAATCCAGTTCAGTTTGAGGATTCGAGCAAAGACTGGTCAGCAGAGGCTGCACTGAATCTTTCTCTATAATTTCTTGGATTTGATGTGACCATTTAATAACCACAGACTCAATTGCATGGAGCACTGTCCTTTCACGGGGCTCTAGCCTACAAACATTAAAAGGACTGATAAAATAATTCAAAATCAAATCATTTCATCCACATAAAGATAAGACTTGAATTTTAATAGGTATCTTATGTGTCCATAAACCAGTTTTCTAAATATAAATACTTCAAAATCAGATCCATTATTTTCATGACCTCAGTTTGAGTTGCGACATTGTTATTGTCGTCGGCATATCTCTAACATTAAACGCATCGTTAAAGAATTATATCACAAAACCATTTCACTGAATAAAAGAATGTGCTTTGACATCAAGGCAATTATTACTGCTTGCTTTCTGTAGGCTGCTTTTTGTTTTTTGTTGTTGTTGTTCAGTTATGTTGTCCCCATTTCCCTCCATTACTCTCCCCTGCCCTACCCACCCCCCACCTCCCACATTCAATCCTCCTCCCCCACCCCACATTGCCTTTGTCCAAGGGTCCTTTACACATGTTCCCTGACTTAACCCTTCCCCTTCTCACCCCTGGCCCCCGCCCCCATTATCCCTCTCCCCCTCGCCTCTGGCCACTGTCAGTTTGCTCTTTGTTTTTTTTTAAGATTTTATTTATTTATTCCTAGAGAGGGAAGGGAGGGAGAAAGAGAGAGAGAGAGAGAAGCATCAATGTGCGGTCGCTGGGGGTCATGGCCTGCAACCCAGGCATATGTCAGTTTGCTGTTTATTTCTATGTCTCCGGTTTTATTTTGCTCTCCTGATTGTTGATTAGGTTCCACTCACAGGTGAGATCTCTTTAAAAGCATACTGTGGAAGGAAATAATACATGCAGTGCTTCGATACAACAATATTTTAAAAATACATTGCAGTTATCATTCTCTATTTAGCTAACAGTGTGCTGGAGGTGTGATATGAAACGGGTATGTTGGCTTGCTGTTTTAATTTCCTGTCTGTACCATGTCATTACGTACTTGGTCTCTGGAGATTTCTGATCCAGGTCAATCCTCCCTGCAATAGTGGGAATTGGTAGAAGAGTTCTTCTCAACATTTTACCCCTAAAAATGTGCATTGTATGTTTCATGAGCTCGACGTGACGCTCCATGTCTTGTGAGATAAAACAGGACCAGGATCTATGGTTGTTCCTGTTAGAAAGAATCGGCACTAAAATCTAAGAAGAGAAACATTTAAAAAAGCAGTTAAATTAATTTACATACAATATGCCCCTTCAAAGATTTTCTTGTCATACGAAATTGGCAACAAACCACTTAATTTCATAAGTGTGCTCCTGTGATATTAAATCTACAAAGAGAAGACAAAAATCAGTGACCCACTCAGACTTAATCGATGAGACAAATTCTTTCGAAGAGGAAATAATTTACTGCTCGTTCATTCATTGCCCACTTACCAAATACTTGTGGAGGTTCTCAATAACTCACACGCTGCAGGAAATAAGCAAAATCATGTCAAGTAAGTACACTGCCTTTTTAATGCAAACTGAGCATGTTGCAGATATGTTAATGGAAAAAATCTTTTTGAATCACATGGAGGCAAACGTAAATTAATCTTCTCAAGCCTCGGGCAGCGTCCCCGTGGATTAAACTTTGATAGTCGGAAAGACATTTCTTTAATCATAGGACCTTTTTAGGACTCCTCTCATTAAATGGGGTACATCAATGAAACCAGGTATGGGAAAGACCCTCAAGAATTATTCTTTATTCCCAGAGCCCAGCATATAATAAGTCATTAATAAGAGTTTGCTGCATTTATAAGGTCGGTCTTTTCTTGCTTTTCCACTCTTTTCCAGTGTCTACTAGTTTGAAACATTTTTAAAAAATTTTTCTGATATAATGTACCCTGTTTACCAGAATTATACTGTAACATTTCTATTAGGCAAAATGCCTAGAATATAGTTTTTCCATCCTTTTAAAGTTTGAAACATCCATTACGCATCTCCCAGGCCACAGTCTGGTAGTTAATTAAAAACAAACTGAAAATTCATTTTGGTTTTCTAATGGCGTTGAAACAAATCTTTCCAAATCCTTTCATTATTACATTTTCCCTGCTTAGCACCCACTACATGCAAGCCAGGAACACAGAGATCAGTGAAATTCAGTCCCTGCCTTCGATGAGCTCAGTGGCTTAGGTACCCCCCCACCCCCCCCACAGGAACTGCCCTAACTGTGGCATGTTCCGGATGTAACAGGCAAACAGAGGAGAAAGCCCGGCTCTGGGAGAGAGAGGTGTTGGGGAAGACTTGCCAGGAAAGCTACTGCTTAGTTGAAATCTGTAAGATGAAAAGGCAGGGTGGGCATTCCAGAAAACTGAACACTGATATGGAAAATCATCGAGGGTCCTTCTGGGAAACGACTGGTCTTGCCGGCCTGGAATTGGAGCCAGCACCCCCAAACGAATGGCTGCAAACGAAAAGGCAGGGTTGGTCCAGGAGGAGCTTTGGAAACCAGACGGAAAGGCTTGTCGGGCGAGCGTGCTCTGACCCACAGGAAAACCGTTCTCTTTTAACTCCTCAGTGGAATAGCTTTTTACAAAAGTCAGATGGGTGGAAAGTTCTGGTTATTCAACATTTCGAATTTACAGGGGACTGTTTCAAACTTTCACTCTAGCTGCCATTCTGTGACGAAGCCAACTTTTTTTTTCCCAATTACAGTTGACATTCAATATTATTTTGCATTAGTTTCAGCTGTACAGCGTAGTGGTTAGACAATGACACAATTCACAAAGTGTTCTCCCTGACACTTCAGTGCCCACCTGGCACCACATGTAGTTATTACATTATTATTGACTAAATTCCCTGTGCTGTACTTTACATCCCTGTGACTATTTTCATAACTACCAATCTGTACTTTTTAATCCGTTCAGAGGCCAACTTCCCTTAAAATTAAATATTTGTGTCAGATGCTGTAGATCAAACTTTTAAGAAGTTCCGAGCCACGTGCTCTGCACAGCTAGAGTGTCTCCGTAAACATCACTTAATACAAATAGACCTGGAAGGTGCTTTTTAATTACTCTTCCATACAAAGTAATTTCGTTCATGGGCGGGGGCTTCTTTTGTTTAAGTTGGGAAGGTTTTTTTGTCTGGTTTTTATGGTTTATAAGGAAACCCCCAAACTTTTTCTACAAAGCAAACCACTCTGGACACGTTTCCTAGAGAGACGACTGCAGGTAAGAGAGCTGTGGTGTCTTTGCTGTGCTTCTCTCACCTTCTCTCATCCCTTGTCAATCTGGGCGGTTTGTTTTCCCAGTGCTTCTTAAGTCAGTTGAGACTGTTACCTGGGAGATACTTCTAGAATACAGAAGTCTGGGCCTCTCTCAGAACACTTAAATTAGCATGTCCAAGGATAGGGCCCAGACCTGACTGCAACCAGATCATGCCCTGACCGGGTAGCTCTATTGGTCAGAGCATCGCCCCGATCTGCCAAGGTTGTGAGTTTGATGCCCAATCAGGACACACATGAGAGGCAACTGATGTTTCTCTCTCACATTGATTTTTTTTCTCTCTTTCTCTCTCCCCCCTACCTTCTTCCTTTCTCTCTCTCTAAAATCAATAAATTTTTTTAAAAGGAACTAAATCACGCTTCCTTTATGGATCAAAAGACATTCACAGCTGTTGTTTATTTTAAGATCTGAGTCACCATAACACATAACTAAAAAAATAATGTCGAGGTAGGAGTTCAATTTTGGACGTGTAGGGTTTGAGATGTCCATTATATCAACACGTCAATCGCCACGGTCAGAAGGAAGGGAGATGTCTAAGCTTACAGTTCAGAAGAGAGATCAGACTGGAGAGAAAGGTCGGGCGGCCCCAGTGCATCAGCATGAATTACCACCAGTCGGTGTGTATGTGAGTCAGATCTCAAAAACTATTTAACATTGAACCTAAGTGACGGTCTATTAGATCATTTAAATGAGAAAAGAAAAAGCAAATATGAAGTCACAAATGATGTTCCCCATCTTTGCTTCAAATACTTGGTCCATCCCTTCCTTCCTCCATCCCATCTAAGAACTGGGGACTTCCAAATCCTTCACTCCCTCATAGCAGTCTCTCCCTTACTCCTCAACGGAGTCGACATTCCACCGATCCTCGCACTTAATGTGGTTCTTGTCAATGTATAAATCTCCCAGAAAGCCCGACGCTGACTAGCTTGGAATGCAAGTTGTCAATCGACCACCACTGACATTCCAACTGACCCCAGAACTTCCACAGTTAGCCTGGTCTGATCAAGTCCTTCACGGAACGTGCACCACCACTACCGCCTTCCGATGAAGACCTGAGTTTGGGTTTGGCAGCGGTTTTCAGGGCAACCATGGCTCTTTATTTTCTAATCAGCTTCTCCAGCCCATTTCTCACCACTTCCCTCTCTGGTTCCCCAATCCAGTTACATCACTTCACTCCTTTTCGAAAAACTAAACCTGCATTTTCTCACCACTGTGCCTTTGCAACGTTTCTCCCCACCCCCCGCCTCCCACGGTCTCCATGCTCTTCCTCCATGCTCTCCATTTAGCTGCCTCCTCCTTGTCCTCCTTACCCTTCAACACTCTGGGGACCAAATAATTTACCACACAACTGTGGAGGCTTTTGACAGTGAAAAGGAACACTAAAAATTATCAGCAGATGTTAACTGATCCATAATGGGTGGAAACTAAAACTGCCCTCAGAGACCTGTGATCATCTGTTCAAGACTGCCCACCTTCCCTGCTGACCCTAAGGATGTGAGAAGACACCAGCAGGCTCCCACGGCTGCTAACACCATGAAGCTACTAGCCCCGCCCACCATGGCCCATCACTGTTAGCCGAGCTGCCTACCTCCCTAGCTAGACGGCACGCTTTCTGAGGGCAGAAACTGCATCACTAATTGCCATAGTACTGAGTCGGTAGTCAATAAATAGTAACTAAGTACACAAATACCCACCATGAGCTTATTGGCATAAAATTCCCCAACTATCCTTTTCATACAATGGCCAAAAAAATGCAAATGAAGATTGCAGAGATCAAACACCAAATGCTTTATCCCTGAATATCTGGAAGCTTCAGCGTTCTGTCTCTTACTGGAACAGGGTATGAATGAGCCCTCATTTAACCTACATTCATTTAACAAGTGTCTACTGAGCTCCTACTGTGTGCAAGGCAATGTCTTGGGTGTTGGGGGCACATCAGTGAGCAAAACAAAGATTCAGGGCTGAGACCAGGGTAAGGCAAGTGAGGGAACACAATGTAAGAGGGCACCAAAAAGCTCAGTAGTCAAGATGAATAGTATTTTAAAATACTTTTTAAAGCAAAAGTTATGAGAAAAATTTCACAGTGAACAAAATATCAAGTTTTCAAGAAAGACAGAGTGAGTGTAACTGACTTCTTTCTGTCACAAACTCCACTATGATTTGGCATGGCGTTGTGAGTGGTTCTAGTTGTATTTAAAGTATTGAGCTTTCTGCATTAATTTTGATTTTAAATACCATATTAAGGTAACATTTATCTTGATTACTGAGTTGCTTGTGTTCCACTGCCCCCAGCCCTATCATGAACTTTTTGCTCTTGAAATAGGTCCCTTACTTGCCTGACCCTAACCCCCACCCGGCACAGACCCCCACTCTCCTGGATGGAGACTTCATTGGAAGAGGTATTTGAGCAAATAGGCTTAACGGACAGGGTTGGCAGAGGGGATTCCAGGGAAGATGATGACAGAGACGTGCAAGGCGCTTGGGGCCGCAGTGTGCCTGACGCAATTAGGATGGGCAGGGAGGCCGTGAATCAGCAAGTGCGATAAGCGGAGAGAGGTGAGAAGAGGTCAGGTCACCGAGATTTGGGCTATTCTTTCATCCTTTAGCAATAAGCATGAGCATCACCTGCCAGTCCTGATGCAGCCTCTCTGGGCGGTGGCGCTGAGATTCTCCAGATCCAACAAGACTTTCATTTAAACCTTCTTTCAGCAGGCCATGCATTGAGACCGAGATAAATTTGGAGAAAGATCAGAGGAGCTTGAAAGAGTTTTGTTCCTTCAGATGAGAGAGCAAGATGCCAACAAGCAGCGCAGCCTCGCCCTTCTGGGCCCAGAGGCTCGCTGTCTGGACTAGAATGAGAGAAAGTTGTTCACTTCGTGTGAAATCCTTTCATCGGATTCAGTGCAAGAAAAATTTCCTGAACACTTGCTGCATACCCAAACTGTCTTAGCCGCTGAAGACAAAAAAACTCTCTCCTTAGTGTCTCTTGAAATCATGTAAAACCAAGTAAATTCCACAGGAGGGGAAAGACACTGAGGTAGGATACTGAAGTTGTGGGTGAGAGCCCCAAGATAGCAAGAAAATACCTCCTTTCAAAAAGACAGCCAAAGAGACTCACTCAGGTAGTCAAAGAGATATGAAAGATTGGCAGGTCATTAGTAACAAATATGCTGGCAGTTATTTCTACCTTCAGTTCTGGCCGGACTACACTGATTGAGATGCGACCTACCGACATCTAACCCAGCAGCTCCCAAAGTCTGGGGCACACGAGAGTGCCCTGGGGATCTTGGTGGGAGCCAGGCAATGGTTTCATTAGTTTGAGGTGTGACCTGGGCCTGGGTATGACATCAAGTTCCCACAGATGATTCTAATGTTCCGCAAAGGTTGGAAACCACCGCTCTGGTTCCACGGAACCTGGCCATTTAGTATGCTGTTCCTCAAAGCTGGTCCATTGGGTGAGATGTGCAGAATACCAGCCCTGCCCCAGACCTGCGGAATCCGCCTGCCTGTAACAAAATCCCAGGCGGCTCCGATGCACATGAAAGTGCCAGTAATGTTGGTTTAGGGAGCATTTCTCTTCTTTAAGGGGAGAAAAAAGAGGACTTTTAAGGCAACCATTTCTAACACTTTGTTTCCATTACTTTTTTAAATTTTATGCTCTTTATTTGTTTTTTAAAAATATTTTATTGTTCAATTACAATTGTCTGCATTTTCCCCCCACCACTCCCTCCTCCCCAGCCAAACCCACCTCCCTCCCTTGCTTCCACCCTCCCCCTTGGTTTTGTCCATGTGTCCTTTATAGCAGTTCCTGAAAACCCTTCCCCCCATTGTTCCCTCCCTCCTCCCCTCTGGCTATTGTTAGATTGTTCTTAATTTCAATGTCTCTGGTTATAATTTGTTTGCTTTTTTCTTTTGTTGATTATGTTCCATTTAAAGGTGAGATCATATGGTATTTGTCCCTCACCACCTGGTTTATTTCACTTAGCATAATAATGTCCTCCAGTTCCTTCTATGCTGTTGAAAGGGGTAGGAGTTCCTTCTTTCTCTCTGCCACATAGTATTCCATCGCGTAAATGTACCATAGTTTTTGACCCACTCAATTACTTTTAACCATTATCTGTCCTAAGTGACATTTAGAAACTAACGAGAATTGAAACTGATTTTCAAAGCCCTTTCCAAAGTGTCAGTTGGTCACTACTCTGAATGTAAATTTTAAAACCTCCAGCTGAGTACAAAAGCCTATTCAATTCACACTCCTCTTTATTTACTGCCGTGATTTAGAAAGAGGAAAACAACGGGCCCACAAATCACCACCTGTGGGCTATCAGCATCAGCATGTGTCAGCTCATTTCAGGAACAGTCTAAATGCTAGCTCACTCCATCCGTCTGGCTCAGGAGATTACTGGCTTCTACATTCTCTCTTTTTTGAAAAAATAGAGTTGTTCCAAGTAATTCCAAGTGTCACTGAGGTAAAGGAAAGATTCCAATATTATTTAACATTTAATATTCAAATATTAAAGACTAGTACCTCATCCAGGAAAGCAGTTACATGTCCAAGAGATGAGGCAGGTAACTCTCCAAATAAAACTGTTTGAAAGAAATCATTTACTCCAATGCTTCCAGTAACCTTCTTGGCAATATAAACAAGTTTATGTTTTGTGTCTGTTGGAATCTGAAAGGAGAACAAGATAATTAGCTGAAGTCCAGATGTAGTTTCCACGTCAACAAGAGTAACTTGTAGCTAGATTGATCACGTGAGAAACAAAACTGGTACCTGCCAGAGGGAAGCGTTCTACCTCCTTGTCTACTGACACTTTTTAAATTAGTTACAACTAGGAAAGTAGCAAAACAAAAAATTTTCAAAAATCACAAAACCCAAAGGCAAATTCCTATTATTCTCCCTCTCTGGGATCCTATTTCTAAACTAGTACAACGACCACATCTCACGATGGTTCCGCTGAGGCACTGCAGCACCTAAAGATCATAAATCTTGCTCCAAACTTCCCACGCTTGAAAAATGCCAAATGCCAGTGCTGTCCTTGTGGGTGATGAGTTAACCTTCAAGTGAGTGAGCGCCTAAATTTTAAGGCGGGGGGGGGGGGGGGGTGGAGGAAGGAAGGGATAGAAGAAAGAAGGAAAGGAGGGGAGAAAGGACTGCCCCCTTCCATGGCCGGTGAAAAACTCCACGTTTGCACAGATTACCGCCCCCCCCCCGCCCGCACTCATTTTTAAGGACTGTGTATGTTTCCCCGGGGCGAAGTGGGGTTGACAGGCAGTTAGACAGGCGGCTTGTCAAGTCATCTGGGTTCTGCCAAACACCTTTTCTTAAGGGTGTGGCTTCAGAGTGACCCAAGCGCGCCCAAGACGTAAGTTACCTGGCACAGCACCCACCTTGCACCTGCCGCCCGGGCAGCGGGGAGAGGCTCTGTTTGTCTTGCTTTACGCCGGTGGAGCAGGCTCGAGGGCTGTCCTTCTAGAAAACCACCTACCGCCGCCTAACTGCAGAGTGGGCGCGCGTGAGGGATTCTACGGGCTCCAGGTCAGACTTCCAAAAAAGTTTTCTAAAGTCTCCGTGCGTGTGCCCCCGCGGAACCCAAGGAGGCGCGACTGGCCTGTCCCCCGCCAAGTACCCTTCATGCTGGGAGGTGGCGCGGCCGGGTGCCCCCGCCCGCCCGTCGCTCCTTACCTGCCGGGAGGCCGCGAGCTGCCCCTCGGCGGCGACACTGAACACCAGGCAGGCCGGGCCGGGGCCCTCCAGAAACTCCCCCAGGACCTGCCGGTTGTCCTCGCTCTCCAAATGCTGGCTCCATTTCTCCGCCCGGAGCCCCAGCATCAGCTCCAGGCGGCCACCGAGGAAGCGCACCCGCGCGTCCTGGGCGAAAGTCCGCGCTCTCCTGGCCTCCGCCTCCTCTTCGTCCTCCTCCTGCTCTTCCTCCTCCTCCAGCTCCAGCGCGCCCGCCGCCTCCAGGCCGGCGCCCGGGGTTGGGGTTGGACAAAGGGTCTGGACTTCCCGGTCTCCCAGCGCCTCCCAAGCTACCACCCGGGCTGCCATCGGGGACGTCCGAGGACTCCCCTCCGCACACGCACTGCGAGAGGCTCCCAACTCTCGCGACCACGGGGGGCGCGGCCGCAGTTGCCCACCTGAGGCTACCCAGCAGCCAGCGTCCGTGCACAGTGGGAAACCGGCTGGCCGAGGCGCGGGCCCGGGAGGAGCTGCGCGTCCCGTTTCCCCGGGGACGGAGTCCCCACCCCGGCCCGCTGGGGGCGGAGTGAGCGCGGAGGGGAGCGGCCTTCAGGCTCGGGGCCCCAAACCGGCGGGGGAGGGAAGAGCCCCCCTCGTTCTGAGCCTCTCGGTGGGCCCCCGCCGTTGCCCTCCGGCTCCTCGGTCCACTGGACGTCCCCGCAGGGCTAGCGGTGAAGAGGAAGCACAGCCCAGCACTGATTCACGACGGTGGTTTGAGCAGGACCGCCTTGGGTGGGGTTCCGAGCCAAATCCCTCACCTTCATCACCTCCTTGTTCCGTTCACAGAAAGGCAGGGCTCCGACTGGTCGTCTTACTTGTATGGACAATGGAACAAACTCACAGAGTCTAACTAACAAGGGGAAGGAGGAACCGAGGGTCAGACCCCCAGCTGAGGGGGGCCGACTTATTGCCTTGGCTGAAATTTGTGCGAATATTACAGAAAAGAGCCACCTCTGCAGCCAACCTTCCTCCTTGAGGAGGTCCAAGGTCTGGGTGTCACCAGGCCGGACTCCCGCCCTCCCTCGTAGGCAGAGCGCTCTTTGTAGACTAGAAAGTGCTTGGGAAATATGTAGAATTATCATTCAGTCCAAGAGTAAAAAGCAAAGGAAGAAAAGCTGCGGATTAATAAATCATGATGATACTACAATGGAATTTCAATACCACCTATTAATGGCATTTGTTGAGATTAAGGAAATTCTAATTACTAAGGTGGCCAGAATGGGGGGGTGGGAGGGGGAAGGTAGACATGTATTAGCTTTTCTAGTTATGTGATCAGAATCTTGAATTAATACAGGCTCCTGGAGAGCCTTTACAATGCCCAGGGCCCCAGTGGCTGGTATGCAAGTCCAGGAGTCAGTCACTGCAAACACCTCACAATGCTTCTCATTCTCTCCTCCACCCCGGCTGTTTCAGTTTTGCACCCCTCTACCCAGAGGAACAGCAATTCTGTACATAAGAATTGTATCAGATTGAAAGTGAAAAACGACTTTCAGATTCAGCAGAAAATGGATATTAGTGCAAAGAGTAAAGCATACTTTTCAAAAACTTACATATGTTACCCCAAATGGAGAATGAAGAAGACATGTGAAAGTCCTGTTTGACTCATGACTGAGGAAACCCACAAAAGGGTGAAGTTGGGTCCAATGAGAACTAGAAAAACAGATTTATAGGCAGTAAGGAAAGTCTGTTGGAATAAGATTGCTAGTTTGGAAAATACTTTTTAATGTCCTCTAGGGCAATAAATATAATCTTCTAGGGTTTGGGTTTTTTTTTGGAGGGGGGTTCTTTTTTGGAATAATTTGTCTTTCAGGAATAATTTACATCTGTGGTGAACAAACCTAAAAATATTCACAGAGTTTGGGTATGAAACCAATAGAAGAAAGTAAGTCAAAAAAAGTTGTGTTTCCCTAGATAAAGAAGTCGCCCTGTAGTGGACCGGTTAACAACATTAAAATGTGGCACAACTTTCTGCTTTTCTTCGACCTTATTCTCAAATTTCATTTTTTTAAAGATTTATTTATTTTTAGAGAGAGGGAAACAGCAACCAGTTGACTCTCTCATGCCCCCTACTGGTGACCTGGCCCACAACCCAGGCAAATGCCCCAACTGGGAATCAAACCGGTGATCCTTCAGTGTGCAGGCTACACTCAGTCCACTGAGCCACATAAGCCAGGGCTTATTCCCAAATTTTAAATAATTTTTCTTAATGATAATAGCTAACACTTATCAAATATCAACCAATGAGGGCAATGTACAGTGCTGAGCTCATTTATCTGCTCCACAAATATTTTCTGAATGCCAACTAAGTGCCTGGCTCTGTTCTTAACGCTGGAAACACACCAGAAAAAGGCGGACGAAATCCATGCTCTCATGTTCCTGGTATAAGCTAGCTTTATACTGGCCAGACTGGGGCTATACCAACTAGGTTTGCATTCCTCTTCTACTGGGTACTGAGTGTGCGTGACCTCAGGCAGCTACTCACCTTTTAGGTGTTTTGGTTTCATTATCTGAAATAGGAATGGCAGATTAGTTGTTGGTTTTTTTTCAATAAATAGTCCTTCTCCCCCACCTTCATGATATGAGTATGTTTTTTTGTTCCCTTGAAGTTGTGCTTAACCCTATGGCTTGCTTCAGTCCGTGGGAAGTTAGCTGATGTGACACCAACAGAGGCCGGAAATGCCCTCGCCGGGTGGGTTTGGCCCATGGTACCTCTTCCACTGTCACGAGAAGCGTATCCCGCACCGGCTTGCTGGTGCAAGGAAGCAACCTGGACCCAACATGTGACTCAGAGGCAAGGGCAGCTCAGTCATTCTACCCTCAACCCACAGATGCATGAGCAAGAATAAATGGTTATCGCAGCAAGTATAACTGTAGTGAGGTTTGTTATGCAATGCTAGCATCACGATAGTCAATCCCACGGTGGTTGGGAGAATTAATTCTGTTTAAATATATAGAAATCACAAACACTTAGGTCACTGCATGGCACATTTAAGCATCATAAAGTGTTTATTGTTAGTTAGGGAATGGCAAGTATGAGAGAAACTAAACAAGCAAGCACAGAGTATGTTTAGTATGTCAGACGATGGTAAGTTCTAAGAGGAAAAGCAAAGGAGAGTAAAGGGGGGGTGTTCATTATTACCAATGTTCAAGAGAGCCTCGCTTCTGAGAACAAGTGTAAGTGAGAGGATGAGCCACGGATTCAGAGGGAAGAATATTCCAGGCCAGAGAAAAGAGCTGGTAGCTGCATAGAGAGGATGCTTGGTTGTTGGAGAAACAGCAAGAAGTCCAATAAGAGGGAAGATATTAGGAAATGCAGACAAAGAAGAAATATGGGTTTCTCTTAAAACGAGACAGAAGCTGCTGTCTCCAGTGCCCACTCACCCTTTATGCCTCTTGGTAATAGAACGCTTAGCCCCAGCCCAGGTTTTAATGGGACTCATGGTTACCCACCTGGAAATTTCATTTCCTACTTTCTCTTATACCCAGTAGAAAGTGAAAGTAATGCGATATGACTTGTGTGTCATGTTCTTAAAGAGGATCTGCCAGCCCCCATTTCCTCCTGTCTCTCCAGCTCTCTGGCTAGTTAGTACATGGACACAGCATGCTGAGACAGGTGCACTCGTGCGGACGACCTTTACACATGGGGAAAGATGCTCAATCTCCCTCACAGAAGAAAAATACAAAATCAAATTATAATACAACACATCTGCTTTATTTACGCGATTTCAGATTGACATCATATTCTTGGCATGGCTGGGGAAACACGCTCACGTGTACCACTGCTGGGAATTCAAACTGATGCAACCCCAGAGAAGTGGTCAGTTTCTAAAAACAATGCTTATGCATTTGCCCTCTGACCCCACGGTCTCATTACAGCACCAACTGTAAAAGCAAAAGACTGGAAACAACCCAAGTGTCCAGAAACGGAAAGCCGGTTGAGTTAATGATATAACATTCACACAAAGGACTAATATGCAGTTACGAGAAAGAATCAGGAAGTCCTGTGTCCTTCAGTGGAGTGATGGCCAAGATGTATTTTCAAGTGAAGAACAAATGTGTATACAATGCTGTCAATCATTCAAGAAAGCAGTGCAGGTGTGTACCCCTCACACACACACAGTTTTTGTTTATATTAAAATAAGAATGCTGCAATGAAAGAATAATCCCAAAACTTTAAAAAGTGCTCAGACATGAGAAAGGGAGAAGAAAACAAGGATGGCAGTGAAGCTTCTGAAAAGGGACATCATTTTCTATAGTTGACCTAGGAATCATGTAAATATTTTATGTAATTAAAAAATAAGTTTAAACTTAAAAAAATTCTATAAAACTAAAAAGCAAGATGAACCCAATGAACTTCCTGCATAATGAGTTGTTGGCATAGCCATACAGAGAAGAACTATTTCAAGGGATTTTAAAACAATAATTAGACAGTATATCCCTAAGAGAAATATGCCCTAAACAAAAAGAACCGCACAAAATAGAAAAAAAAAATATAAACAAATACTTTTAGATTGTTTTCAGTAATTATGTTGTTGGTAATAGTGTTGGCAGTGTTAATTTAAGACTGACTCTATTGTGAGAATAAAGCTGTCAGAGGTGGGGTTCGTGGATAAATAGACTCTTTTGTGGGCTCTGCATGCAGGTCACTTGTTAGGGAGGGCTCCTAGGGAAACAGTACCTGCAGGGAGCTGGAAGAAGCAGGTCAGGCAGAGGGAGAAGTTGAATTGCCAGGCAGTTGCAAGAGAAGACTTGGTTGATTCCATGGGGTGCTCCTAAGCTGCGATATCCCTTTGGAGATGTGCCAAACTGAGACATCTCTGCAACCCCATGATGCACCGAGGGAGAAAGCCTAACCTTGGCCATGGCAGTAACCTTTGGCTGAGGACAATTCCTGGAGGCATCAGCACGCAACATTTACAGCAGTTAGGAGAATGGGCACCTTGTTTTTCAGGGGAAGGTCTGGGCAGCATCTACTAAAAACAAGTGAATAATTATGCTGGTGTTGTCAGAAACCAGGAGTTTTGACATGGTAGAAAGAAAAAACACATAAACTAGATGAGGTTAAGTAAAATTCCCTTAGACCTGATTTTGAAGTTAAAGTTTCAGTATAAGCTAATGATCTAGTGTGTCTTTAATGGAATATCCATTACTTAGCTTTGCTCCCTGAAAAGTGTTTGAAAGAAGTAGTAACCCTTTGCAAACAGCATCCCTAGGTTTAGATGCTGGTCTCTAGGTATGGTTTCCCACTCAAATAAACAAGGAAACTTTGAGAAATGGCTGATTCTAGCTTTGGCACAGAAAAAAATACAAGCAGGTCTAGGGACATGTTGTAAGAGCAGAAAGCAGAGAAGCTACCTACTAAATACTTGTGAGGTATGTCAAAAATTTTCAGGAGCCAACATGAGGAGGCTTCCACT